TTAAATTTAAAATTTGTAACACAGTTTCATATTCAAGGAATCCGTAGCTTGCTCTTCGCAAATAAAAAACATATCCTTAAAATCAAGCGCAATATTTTCGAGAGGGGATGATTTACCAAAACAACTTATAGTTCCGTCATCGTCTTAGTTGTCTCACAAAGTATCTGAGAATTACAACTCGTAACTCGTAACATGAAGGATGAGTGGCTGTGTAGGGCAAATTCAGTCTCCGTCCAGGTTGGCAATCGATTAAACATTTTCAAGAATGATCCGTTTACACAGTACCGGACGAATTTTCGACCGGATGAAAAACTTGACCGGACACTAGATGATGTAAACATGAACTGTGGGGTATACCTTAAATCTGAATGTACACTATGTTTAACATCTAACAAGCAGTATTGGACGTCTTTCAGAACATAACTGAATAAACGAATTGATAATAAAATTAATAAGTATTGAATTTGTTAAACTAATTGCTTTCTGTAAAAATTGGTCACAATGTATTTGATAAAGAAAACAAACAGTTGAGAATTTAGAAAACAGGCTAATTTGTTCTCTGTTTCTCTGTGCTGCCATTCGTGTTCCACATGAAGTTACAAAGAATCCGAGTGGCATTTGTAATAATAGAGACATTTAGAATCATATATACGCGGCACATGCTTAGCACGTGACCAAATTCTCACATTACCCAGTGTCGTTTTTTTGCCATTAGTAGCCACGTGATTAATTTTTTTTTTAACTGCTCTTTTCGTTTTGTGTCAAATACTCATTTTGAATCCAACGTTTGCAGTTTGGCTTAAACGTGATTTTTTTTAGAAGTATGCAATATTCGAAAATGATATTAGCTGTATCCGGCACAGGAGAGGTTTCTCAAACAAATCATCTTCAATAAACAAAGTTGATTAAAAAGCTATGATCTATTCTAATTGTACCCAAACAAGCTTATAAATAGTTCATTTGAAATGCCATTTTCTCAGTGGGACCATATACTGCGACCTTGTTGGAAGTTTGGTCGCCTTGTTGACGAGGCACAAAAGTACCCTGGTAAAGTTGGGAAGGGCTCTTTCAATTAAAGCAGAAGTCATTTTGGCTGCTTTAACTAGGGGTGTCAAATCCAAGATGACCGCTGTAGAGAAAATTTTGCTCTTGCTTCTGGGAGCAGGTAAGTGAGATGTTAACTTTGTGCTCATATTCGTGACTGTAAAACAGCGTGACAAGCAACCTTATGTTATACTAGGTGTACTGTGGGTTAAAACAACAGACGAAAGAAATTTTGCAACTTTTAAAACAAGAGATCAAGCCATGGCATTCGAACATTAAGCAGATATAGTAGCCAAGACATCCATAAGTTGTTGTCGAGGGTCCACTTATATCTAGACTTTTCAATGAAAAAATTAATTTGGCATCAAATGTCCAAGGAAAAGTTGGGGGCCAAGTGGGCGATATTTTTTTATCTTAAATCATCACACAAAGTACCAGTGGCGTATCCAGGGGAGGGAGACTGGGTCCCCCCTTATCTAAGGGTCTCGATGCCCCCCCAATCTCAAGGTCTGGATTCGGCACTGAGTACAGATTGTAGTATCTAATTCTACAGGAATTTTCTGAGCTGGTCGAGGTTAAATTACGGCTGGTTTTACGCACCAATTGAGAATGACGTTCACTGACCTACTGACAAATCTCTTACTATGTGGCCCGTCGTACAGACAAGTAGCGTATTAGGTCAAATCTTTGATGAAGGCATTCATGGAAAGTCATCTGCAGTGTTAAGGGGTGGGTTAATCGAAATAAAATGGGATTTTCCCCAAATTAAGGCTCTCTCGGCATATTTTCTACCTTCGCAACACCAAGAGCCGGGAATTGTAACTTTAAAATATAACCAGTGGGAAGAGGAGTGTTAAATTTAAAATTTCATATTCAAGGAATCCGTAGCTTGCTCCTTGCAAATAGAAACATATCCTTTAAAATCAACCGAAATATTTTCGAGAGAGGATAATTTACCACTGACCACTTATAGTGCCGTCATCGTTTTAGTTGTCTCACAAACTAAGTGAGAATTACAACTCGTAACATGAAGGATGAGTGGCTGTGTAGGGCAAATCCAGTCTCCGTCCAGGTTGGCAATCGATTAAACATTTTCAAGAATGAGCCGTTTACACAGTACCGGACGAATTTTCGACCGGATGAAAAACTTGATGGGACACTTCGTTGACACGGGGTCGTTCAATATTTTTGCACAGTTCACAAGGAACGTTAAATGACAATTAGGCACGTCTAAATTTTTCGTTACTGTTAGGGAGCTTCTGTGTGAACAGAACACAAACGCAGAAGTTTTCAACCGGTCGAAAATTCGTCCAGTGTCTTATGAACGTAGCATGAGTTGGAAATAACTATTATTATTAAATACTGAATCATTGGATAATGCAATTCTAGAGCTCTGATTGGCTTATCCTTCATGGTGTATGAGCCATTATACCATGCTCTCCAAATATGGTATCTGTACGCGTCTACTCAAAATTAAGAAAATGCTGAAAATATTTTGTGGGCGTTTTTAATAAAACAATTATTCCACTCGCTGGTTGGATATGAGATGATTATAGCCAACTCGGCGCTACGCGCCTCGTTGGCTATGTACCATCTCATATCCAACGCACACTCGTGGAATAATTGTTAAATAATTTCTTTTCACTACCTTGGCGATATAAATCGATAAAGGAGCATTTATTTGGTTAAATTACTGACCACATGAGGTTAAATTTTTAATTTGCTCACTTTACTGCAGACAGTTGTCAAGGTCAATTTCAGATAAAAAGTACTGCCGCTCTCTTACTACCTCCCGCGTATAATCTACTATCGGTCTTTTAATTAAAAGTGTACAGAGAGGCTGGTTAAATTAGAACAAGGGAGAAACGAATGCACCACCATCCGCAGCTTAAATCTGTGTAAAAAAAACTAGTATCAAGATTCACATTCAAAATTACATTGGACGCCAACGCGATGAGCAAAAAGTCTACACTTTTGACCTTTTTTCTGCATACGAAAGGGCCTTAAACATTCCAGATGTGCACGTTTTAAACTAACCATATACCTGATCTTTGTGTCCCTTCGAGATGGAGGCAAATTATTTGATCGTTATATTAAGAGCGAAGCAAGAAGAAAGTCAGTAATTTGATATTTCAGTATGGCGTTTGTTGATCTTTAATTACGTCACATGCAGATCCAAGTAGTACATACATACATACACATACTTTATTTAAGCTCGAAATTTGGAGAGTAGGTGTAGAGCTAATATATTCGAGAAATAAGTTAAAATAATTAAAAATAAAATTTGCAATATTGCAATTCCAATATTATTTATAAACTATATACAACATTATGCATGCAGAGGGAAATATAACTTGTAAATCTACTGTGGAAAAGCTAGCTTCATATCTGAGGATCTCCTGCTTAAATTCTAGAAAATTTAATGTTTTGTAAGTGTGTGGGAGAGAGTTCCTTATTTTGCTAGCTAAGTATGACAAAGAGTGCAGACCGTAAGTCGTTGTTTTGGGTTGGGAAGGGCCAGGATATGATTTCCGCGCAAATTTTAGGATGAAGACCGTACGGTGAACATATCTTTTAAATAACCTGGAGAATTCGTAAAGAACAGACTCTTATATAATGTCATCATGAACTTCTGGAGGCGTCTAATGAATAAAGATTTCATGTTAACTTTGCTTAGTAAAATGTCATATGGAGAGCTGTAGTCCTGTAATGGTAGCGCGCCGATTAAAATGAACCTGACTTGGGCACAAGGATTAAAACGATATTTTTCATAATCGATATTCCAATTTTTATTTCTTCTTGCTGTAACGAATTCAAGTCAAAAAATTTTAAATAAAGTAGTCCCTTCTGCAATTAAATTTCTATTATACTGACGACAATTCAGTTTCGTTTCCGACTGGACTTTCAGTATAACTAATTAACATCATCTTTCCTATTTTTCAGGTTTTGTGGCCGGAGGTAAGGGTTACTTATAACAGTTCATTACGTATACATACATCACATAAGCGCAATTAAAGCATCAAAACCAATGTATCTGATCATGAAAGGGCAGCCACAAGAGGCCATCATAGTAATCCGCAGTGTGCAACTCCCCTACTTAGCCTAGCTACGCAACGGCGTTTTCACAGATCAGCTTATTCTTAGCATTATTTTGTAGTACTTTTCCGGCGAAAATGGAAGCACCTCTTCATGTGCCCATCCGTTGTTTGATATAGTTACGGAAAGAAAAAAAAAAGAAAATAAATTGCCATCAAAACATCATTGATACTAATTTCTGGACTCCACTTATTGCTGACTAATTTATAAAACTTATTTGATAATCGCGAAACTCGCGGGAAAATCGCCGTCTAAACTAAACTGGTCGTGCGAAACGCCTTATGCTAACCTGAGATCAGGCCCAATTTTAGCGGTTCTCATACATTCTCTCTAACGGCTAGCCGGAATATGTTTTCAAAGCGAAACGAAAATAGAGCTTGATCTCAGGTTACCTTTATGCATCGGCACAGAAGAGTTCCCGGTTAACATGGATAGGCTGTCTGGCCACCACATGTACTAGTGTGTCAGTGTCGATGACGTGTTTGAATGTTTTTCTTAGATGTATCTGTGGGCCTTAAATAGCCTAACTTTCAAGAGTATGAATTCAATATTTCGCAACGTGATTGAAGGATAATTATTCGCTTTTTTCATCGTTCATAAAGACCCGCCGCAACGGTCAATCGAAATATAGAACGAAATTTAAACAACTTTAGACGTTGAGATGTCAAGACAATGCGACACGAACACCCACAAAAGGAGTGACTGCTTTAGACCACCGCTTTTACTTACTTAAATTTCAGCGGAATGGTTGAACACGTCCGAACTGCTTCTTTCATAATTTTCTCTACTGTTTGCTAACATCCGTGTATATACTGATTTTAATATGTTCTGTACTCTGTATTTTAGACTGTGACGATCCGATGGGAATGGGTAATGGACAAATTCCAAACTCTGCATTGAAGGCTGCTTCTGTGGTATGACTGATACAGTTGCAGAAATATGTTCTCAAACGTTTGTGGTCATGAAGTGATTAAGAACTGATGTTTCATACTGAATTTAATTTGGCTGTTTTAGTACTGTTTACTACTGTACGTGCATTTTAGCGGCAAAGAATGAATGAGCCCCTGTGATTTCCATAGTATAAAGGCTTTAGGCAGTTAGCCGCGACGGGTCAGCTAGGTTTCGGTTTTGGTTTCATCGAATTTAAAAGATTGCCGTTTTCGGCAGAAAACTGACTGAAATGCGTACGTGGCACTAAGAAGAGCGACTTCAAACTGTGCTTGGTAGAAAAGCTCAGTGGTTGGCTTTTATGACATCCCATAACAACATCATGAAAGAATTGTGGCTGTTATTACATTGTTATTTTGTAAATTGTCCCCGAGGTATTTGGCTACAAAGCTAGGAGAGGGGGAATGAGACAAAACTCCATAACAAGCTCAAAAGAAACGACAAAAATTTTCAAGAACACAGTTACAGTAACCACAGAAACCTACAAGAAAAAGCTTTTGCCAAAATTTGTCTGAGTAATAAATGACGCAGCTAATGGAATGGAAAGAACAGGTTTTAGCTCAATTATAGTTGAGGGAATGGTCATTAAAAAAAATCCGAGTTAAAAGCTTGCAATCCACTCCCCCTGTACGTCTAAATTAGGTTAAGTTTCCCCTGGTGGCGAACAGTTCAGTCATAGTCATATAAATTATGTTGTTGGGGAATGGTAATGTATGACAATGAGTTTAAAACAAAAAAAAATAACTTTAAACCCAAGGGTAAAATTGAACCACAAAATGTATATTAAAGATATTTCTTCTTTCACGTTTATAGTATAGCTCTAGCTATGCACCGGGTTACGGCAGACTGAACCATCACAGCACTTATATCGCCAAGAGAAACGACAAGGGACAGTGGATACAGGTGGATTTTGGAAAAGTGGCTAAAGTGACTAAGATCGGAACTCAAGGTCGATATAATGTGGGACAGTGGATCACCAAATATATTGTCTCTTACAGCATCGATGGTGGATTCTTTGAGTATCAGTTGCACAAGCCATACCACGTACCTCGAGTAAGTATCACAAATGAAGGATGAAGCAGTTTTACATCTATACAAAGTTTATCTGGGCCGCTGTTTTAAAAGGAAAGTTCTGTCCAAGCCTGTAAGTGTAAGCTATATTTTAGAGAGGCAAGTTCATAATAATTTTGGAAACGTATCGAACCAAATTGGGCATCCATCTTGTCTATATCCTCGTGTCAAACCGTTTAGCTATCAGTTAATTAAGGAAAGAGGCCCGTTATAAACCTAGGATAAATACTATACGTTCTAGGCTAAAAACTCTGAATTTTATTAACCATTTAGTTTTCAATAAATACGAATTAGTCTATTAGTATAGGTATAGATAGATATAGATATGTATATAGTAGAATTCGATCCGGTACAAGATTTAAAAATTCTTACGCTTAACCTACTTTTGGTATGTATTATTATCTTTTGAAAAATAAAGCCATATTTTAATACTATTATTATTATTATTAATATTATTGTTATTGTTATTATCATAATTATCACTATTATTATCATCATTATCATTACCATTATTTTTACAGTGATTTCTGAAAGCGATACGTCGAGGAACGTGAACACTCGATTGAATCGATTTAAATGACTGTTTTTAGACAACAACATTCATTGAGTTGTTTTATTCATTTTAGGAATATTACGCCAACAAAGACTACACTAGAGTCGTAATTAACACCCTAGACGAACCAATCCTAGCCCGTTATATCCGCATTCACCCGATCGCATGGCATGGACACATTTCTTTTAGATTTGAGTTATATGGTTGTTATTCAGGTGAGATGAATGGAAAGTTAAGTTAAATCATGTCAACGTTAACTACTCTTGATTGTTTTCATGATTTTAGGGATGGCCACTCCAGGTTTGTGTCAATAGTATTTATTTAGATGTTTGCAGTAATATTTAGTATACATGATTTAATCAAATTTCAAAATAAGCCGCGATTGTTTATCTCGTCTTTTGAAACATTTAGCACCCTATTCAGAACACCTCTAAAGTACGTACTTTTGGATAAGGTAGCATGGACTATGGCATGTATTCCAACCCTTGTTCGCCCCCCTCCCGACTTCTAAATGCTATCAAACGCAACATCCATTAATTACAATGGTCCTTATTGCGTTCTTGCAGGATTTTCTGCTCCGAAGCCACAATCTTGCATGGCCGGACTTGGATTAGAAAATGGAAACATCCCCGATTCAGCAATAATAGCTTCCAGCTTTTATAACTCGTATTACAGACCTGACCAAGGGCGTTTGCAAGCTCAGTATGAAAGTGGCGGCTACGGAAGCTGGTTAGCAGCGACATCGAACAATCAACAGTGGTTCCAAGTGGATTTTGGAAACTGGACAAAGGTGACGAGAGTCGCTATACAGGGACGCCTGAATGCGGCTCAGTGGGTTACAAAGTTTAAACTGGCGTATGGATACGACGGGGTATTTTTCAAAGACTTCAAGGAAGACGGCGATACTGCTAAGGTAAAAGATACACCTTTGAAAACCAGAAATGAGGCTACACTATGCAAAGAAGAATGGTACTTACACCTTACTTGCTGAGACTATTACAAAATGATGCAGGCGAAGATCTTTTGGGGTATCAAGAGCGGTGTTTTTCACACAATGAGCTTTGTTGCCTTTTTCCTTAACTTGTAAACGATAAAGATCATCATAACAAAGGAATCTTTTCGGTCCCCTGGAATCCTTCCCTGTTCCCCTATACGAAACCTATGCGCTGTAAAATGTCTCCGCGATTTCTTAATTGTGGGTCATAAAACAGTGCCTGCCTGACTCCTGAACCTTTTAAAAAAGGATCGCTTAATGCACGTATATGAAGGCTCAACAATTTTAATCGTCTTGGCAGGGTATCTAAATCCAAAACTGAATTTGCATTTTGTGTCTCAGGAATTTGATGGTAACACAGATCAATTCATGGTTGTTAGCCACTTGTTGAAGAAGGCAATCATCGCCCGTTTTGTTCGAATTGTTCCACTCACTTGGTATGGAGCCGTTACGCTAAGAGCCGACTTCTATGGATGCGAGTCAGGTGATCGCTTGTTTTAACTAAACTGATTTTATCCAACTCAGACTTCTACCATATAACAGTTATAAGACTGTCCATTTATCAACCTTTCAATGTGTAGGAAATCTGAAAGAAAAGGAGAGACTGCTCGCACTCTACAGCTGTAATTATATTCACCTAAAACGAAAAATTTCTCAAAGAAATATCTAGGTAGTGAAATGTTGTTCTTGATGTACTGTGCTAACAGGGTTTGAAGTTCCGGACATAGTGTGCGCATCTGCTCTGGGAATGCAGTCAGGCAAGATACCGGACTCGGCTTTTGTGGCATCATCTCGGTATAATCAGTACTGGGGACCGGAGAGGGGAAGGTTAAACGAGAAAAAGGAAGGTATGATTTGTTTCAAAATTGACTAGAACAGAGGGTGATCTCTTGGTGAAGCTGAAGTCTATATCTTAGCTTATCAGCGTCTTATTTCCGTCCATTAAATACGAGTCAATTAGCCTCGCTAATGGGCATTTTTGTTAAAAGAAAAAAAACTCCTCTGCTTGAATTGACAAGTCCATCATCCAAACTATACCATCGAAAACGCATATATGAAGACACGATTTCGATCTCAGGCTGCTCTGAGACGACGGTGCCCTACTCGCAAATAGTGTAAACTATTTTGTGTATCTCGGCTAATACACCATTTCTAGGCAGTTTCAATGGTGGATGGGTTGCCCAGTATGGAGGCGCTGATCAGTTCCTGCAGATTGACTTGGGTAATGTTACCAAGGTAACAAGGATCGCCACGCAAGGAAGGTATGATGCAGGCTGGTGGACAAAGACATACACTCTTTCATACAGTAATGATGGAGCAGCGTTCACAGCGTACAAGAATGGCAAGGTATAAAGACATGTCTCATTTCGTAGTACATAATAAGACGGATTAAAACAATAGAGAAACACAATGGATGTGACACTGCTATTCTTAGTCTAACAGAACGATGGAAACAAGAGCTTGACTCGACAATCATAAAGTCATCAGAAGTAGTTTAAATAGCTTTAACAAAAGCCTTTGCCTACTCTACCGCTTGATATGATAGCACTGAAATTAACGCAATATCATGTTGACGACAAAATCATTGACCTATCTTTCTAATCGAAGGCAACGGGTAAAACTTTCGACATGGCAGGATATAACAACTGGAATTCCTCATGGATCCGCACATGGGCCTGTTTTATTCAACATATTCATGAACGACCTTGTTAACTTGATAAAAGGTAGCAACCTATCGACTTATGCAGATGACACACGGGCATTCTTTGCTGATAAAAGATCCTTTGATAGTCCAAGAAATTATAAACTCTAATTTATCATACGTACATAAGTGTTTTTTTTGAAAAATGGCATTAAAAAAAAACACTCTAAATACCAGGCTATAGTGATAGGCTATGGGAAAGTTAATCCAGAATTTCGCTGTGAAAATAACGCCATCAGTCGCCGTTTCATGTCATCCGTTTGACGTAACAGGCGTAATGCTTAACCTATATAATATTATTCCAATACCTTATTTTAAGATAACTATTTGCCTTCCTATTGTCAAGGTCTTCCAAGGCAATACGGACTACAGAACTGCAGTAGGTCATATTCTTGATCGTCCAATTATCGCTCGCTTCATCAAAATCAACGTGAAAACATACCAAGGATATCCATCATTGAGGGTGGAGCTTTATGGATGCTCTGATGGTATGTGGGATTTTTTTGTCTGAAATGGATGCTGGTTTACCTGTTATCTGTTTCAATTTTATTTGATAAGTCTAACTATGTCTGTGTTTAAAATTTTATAGGCTTTTCCACCCCTAATCCACCACAGTGTATGGAAGCCCTTGGAATGCAATCCGGTGACATACCTGACTCAGCCATCACTGCCTCAAGCTCTGCTAATGCCGTCAGTTATGCTCCTTCAGTTGGCAGACTTCACTTTCTATCTGCTGGTAGCGGTAGATATGGGAGCTGGGCAGCAGGAGCCAACAATGCACAGCAGTGGTTTCAAGTCGATTTTGGAAGCTGGACTAAAGTCACAGCAGTAGCGACACAGGGACGGCAAGATTCTAATCAATGGGTAAAAACCTTTAGTATGTCATACAGCTATGATGGGGTTTTTTACAAGATTGTGAGCAACGAGCAAGGTTTGAAAAAGGTAAGAGTTATGAAGAAAGTATTGTCAAGCCCTCTGCGCTCACCCCGCGCCCGATCATCCCTTACAAAAAACAGGCTATTTGCGCTAAGAGGTCGTGTGACATCTTTTTTATGAAAATGAAAGTTATATGATTTTGCCTTCGAAAAACGATTAGTGGGTCATTTCTTAAACAAAATAATAGTGATTTGGTTTTTCAAACCCGCACATTTTCTTAAAATGAGTAAGTTCGTAAATGGTCAAGTGACCAAAATGTGATTTTTAAAATTATGAATTATTTCTTTCTAAACACAAATTTTGCACTTAAACTTAAAGGAAAATGTTGAAAAGATGATGTGGTAACGTTTACAGCACATCTGAGCGTAACTATCAAACGTTTAACCAGATATGAGCCAAAAGTAGTTTTGGCCGCCATGTTGGAGGGCAAGAGTATGTTCTCCAACATGGCGGCCAATACAAATCATACTACTTTGTTGAAAAGTCAAAGTGCCATAAAATATCTCCCTTAAATTCGTTTCCTCTCAAATTTCGGGTGTAATATAATTTTTATGAGCCCTGTCAATTTTTGGCATCAGCAAGATTCCAACTCATTGTTTAAAGGAAGCATTGATCACCTGACCTCTTAGTGCAAGTGACCTACTGGCATAAAACGCAGATGTAAATCTCGCCTTCGCTTTTAACGTCTTTCTTTTATCTAATCAATTTTCAGCTTGGGCGGAGAGATTTCTCTGCAGCAGTTTTATCAAATACAAAATTAAAGTAGATTTTTGCATACTTAATTGAATTTTCTATAGTAAATCATCGCCAAAAAAGAGAACACTTCTAGTCACAACTGTACAATTTGATAGTTTGAAATCAACTGAGTGTAGTATATAGATTAAGCCAGGGCTAAAGATGAAGCCCCCGTTACTGCATTTAGAATTTACTTCAAACAATAGAATTGTTACAATTGTAAAGAAACGTACTTAGAGTTAAGCCCGCGATCATTTGAACAATAGTTACTTGTCCGCGGATTACTTAAAAAAACACGCAACCTCCATGGGTCGACCTCTAAGCCGAATTATGGTCATGTGATACTGGTCAGCAGATACCCTATTTTGACAACTGTCAATTGACGACAACATGCAAGTGCAATATCAGGTCTCAGGCTCCCACTCTAACCAGAAGGTGTGAAATTTCACAAAGGTTACCTTTAAGTAATTGCTCGACTACAAGAGAGAACCTTCTGATAAGACGGTCGCTGCACTCAGGAAAGCGAGGAAAAATTAATGCTCAACGCATCGCGCGCTGCCTCACCAATGATTACTGGCTGAATCTCTCTCAGAGCATCCATCTATCTGCTGACTGTGGGAATCTCTGCGCTATGTACGATGGAATAAAGAGAGCTTTCGGCCCAAGCGCTACCCAAACTGCACCTTTGAAGTAAGCTGCCGGCGACATCATCACAGACCGGAGTAAACTGATGAAGAGGTGGACTGAACACTACCAAGAACCTACTCTAAAGAGAACATCGTCACTGACACAGTAGTTGAGAGTACCAGCCTCCTGCCTGTTATTAATAAGCTTGACCTTCCACCCTCAGTAGACTTATAACTTAAAGCAATCAACTCTCTAGCCTGAGGGAAAGCATCAGGCAACAATGGCATCCCTTCAGAGGTCATCGAGGGTGGTATGAATACCGCTCTCCTTTGCCATCTACACGAGCTCTTGCTTCAGTGCTGGGAGGAAGGAACAGTGCCCTAGGACATGCGTGACTCTAACATCGCCACGCTCTACAAGACCAAAAGACAAGGGACACCGCAGCGACTGTAACACACACCGTGGAATATCTCTCCTCAGTATCACTGGGAAGGCCTTTGCCCGTGTAGCGTTGAATAGCTTACAGAAGCTAGCAAAAAGGGTGTACCCTGAGGCTCAGTGCGGGTTCAAGGCAGGAAGGTCAACAATTGACATGATCTTTTTCCTGAGGCAGCTGCAGGAAAAGTGTCGGGAGCAGAGCAGAGGAAACCCCTGTATATTGCCTTTATCGACCAGAGTAAGGCCTTCGAGCCTAATCAGCAGGAAGGGGTTATTCACTCTCTTGCAGAGGATGGGATGCCCTCCCAAGCTCCTAAGGAAGATAATGTCTTTCCATGAAGACATGCAAGAAACCGTCCAGTAGGATGGCTCAACCTCAGACTCCTTCCCAATCAAGAGCGGAGTGAAACAGGGCCGTGTACTTGCACTCAAATTCTTGGACATCTTTTTTTCTGTACTGCTGTCTACCAGAAACGATGGAAACCTCTTCAACCTTGCACGTCTCTGAGCAGAGACTAGGGTTCGGAAAGTACTGATAAGGGAGATACTGTTTGCAGACGACGCTGCCTTAACCGCACACAATGAGAATGCTTTACAACGACTAATTATCACCTTTGCACTCAATTGTAGCGAGTTTGGTCTCACCATCAGTCACAAAAAGACCAACATCCTTGGCCAAGACGTCGGCAACATCCCAAGCATCTCCATCGACCACTACACTCTCGAGGTGGAGGAGGACTTCACTTACCTAGGCTCCACCATCTCCAACAACCTCTCCCCAGACACTGAACTGAACAAACGAATTTCAAAGCAGAGCAGCACTGGAACATCTCCGAAAGAGGGTCTTGGACAAAGCCATGTTGACCATCAGCACCAAGATGAAGGTGTACCGCGGCCTGAGTACTCAGCACCCTGCTGCATGGTAGCGAGACCCGGACCCTCTATTCCCGCCAAGAGCGCAGACTCAACACCTTCCACCTGCGTTGCCTCAGAAGGATTTTGGGCATCACCTGGCGAGACCGAATCCCAAACAAGGATGTCCTAGCACAGGAAGGAGTACCTAGCATGTTCGCCTTGCTCGTTCAGAGACGGCTGCGCTGGCTTGGCCATGTAAGCCGCATGGATGGGGCTTACCACTGGAACTAGACCGGCAGGAAGGCCTAATATTAGCTTCAAAGATGTTTGTAAACGAGATCTGAAGGCAGGCAATACAATATCAACCCTGCAGGTTGGGAAGCTGTAGAGACCGAGGTCACCGAAGGCTTGCTGTTAACGCAGGTACTGAGGCGAGTGAAGAGAGGAGAGAGGAGCAGTGGGATGAGAGGAGAGAGCGCAGGCGGCTGAGGGCAGCATCAGTACCCACAGAGCCAAGCATGGAGGGCCTGCCGTTCCAGAATGGGACTTTAGAGCCACAGCAGGCTGTGCAACTCAACCAATGACTAAACCTTGGCGCTGATTCCATTATCTCGCGAGACAGAAGGATGCCAAAAGCCCTGTGGTGGGGACGGACGGGCGGACGGACGGACGGTCAAGTGACTACTAAATTTCTCGGATGGATAGATTGCTCAGTTTTCTTCGCTATGGGCTTCTGCTCGCACGCTCCTTGCGCGTGCTTGGAGCTCCGCTATAAAAGCTTCACGTTAAGCCTAGGACGTACACGCAAAGTCATACCCCCACAAAGGGGGTCCCCCCTTGGGTTTTTGATATGTTGCAGTATTTCAAAACGATTTTGCCTTCAGTAGAAAGGCTTTGATCTTGTCTACAAGACGAGGTATAGTTTATGGGTGGTGGCGCTGCTGGAGGTCTGTGACGTCACCAAACATGGTCGCCATCTTGGATTTTATCAAGAATTAGAAACCAGGTAAAAACAGTGAGAATTAATAACTTTGTGCGCTTATCAAGATGTAAAATAACACTTAAATAATTCCTTTGTAAGTCCGGGGGTTAAGGCTGTTCTTTCCGTCATTTAGCTAAAAAGTGAGGCAGTGCTTCAAATTTTCCGGTGGAATTTACCTTGAAAATTTATTTATTTTTTGGAAAAATTCCAACTTAGTCCCTTTTGAACCTTTCATCAGGTATTTACTGCGAACTCTGACCGATACACAGTAGTGAAGAACGTACTGGACAAACCAGTTATAACGCGCTACTTACGGATTCATCCCGAGTCTTGGTATGGACATATTTCTATGAGGACGGAATTCTATGGATGCACGAAAGGTAATCACTAATCAGGAATATCTGCTGTTAAATGAATCTACCTAGCTTAAGCTTAGCGCTTATTATACACCTATTATATTTCTTAAAAGAAAAACAGCAGATTGAAATAACGATTGTTAATTTCTTGCTTTTCCCCGAAGGATTCACACCCCCTATAATGGTATGTGCATCTGCTTTGGGATTGGAAAACGGGAAGATACCAGACACGGCCATTGTAGCATCGTCCAGATACAACCAATACTGGGGACCGGAGCGTGGCAGGCTAAACGAGAAAAAGGATGGTAATCACTTTTAAGCGTTTAATCACCCAATAAAAGGTGCTTTAAATTCAACGGTAAAAGGTTTTGATATCTGCTATTTAGCCTAGAGCATTTGAAGTGCCGAGAAACAACTCGCCCTTCCATGACACAGATTACAACCAGCAAAATGTTGGTCTCGAGTCATTCTAAAAGTTTTTATATTCCCTATTTGAAACGTCAAGGGTTATCAAAACGTGTATGAATTGCTTCAGGATTTTTTTGTCACTGATCTTGATTTGTCATCATTAAAAACGGCAAGAAAAACAACCTTTTCTTGAGCTGCACAGCCATGTCTTTTAAGAAATATATTCAAATATTTGTAGTAAAATCTTGTTCATCTCGACTGAAAACTGCAAATAAACGTTTTTCAGGAAGTTTTAATGGTGGATGGGTTTCCCAATATGGAGGCGCTGATCAGTTCCTGCAGATTGACTTGGGTAATGTTACCAAGGTAACAAGGATCGCCACGCAAGGAAGGTATGACGCAGGCTGGTGGACAAAGACATACACTCTTTCATACAGTAATGATGGAGCAGCGTTCACAGCGTACAAGAATGGCGAGGTAACCCTGGAATACAGTGACCCCCGTCGTTATAATATTTACGTTCTTTATGTTAGGACGAAACACGTTATTTAATTCTATATAATTTAATCTGTTATGTTGACATTTCGAAGGTCTTCCAAGGCAATACAGATTATAAAACTGCAGTGGGTCACGTTCTAGAGCCTGCCATTATAGCTCGATTTATCAAAATCAACGTGAAAACATACCAAGGATATCCAACATTGAGAGTGGAGCTATTTGGATGCTCTGATGGTATGTGGAGTTGTCGTTTTTTACGAAATGACCATAAAAAGGTCACTTACCTGTATTTTGTTTGAATTTGACTTGAATACATATATGTTTGGCTGCTTGAAATTTCATAGGATTTGCTACCCCTAAACCACCTCAGTGTATGGAAGCCCTTGGAATGCAATCCGGTGACATACCTGACTCAGCCATCACTGCCTCAAGCTCAGCTAATGCCGTCAGTTATGCTCCTTCAGTTGGCAGACTTCACTTTCTATCTGCTGGTAGCGGTAGATATGGGAGCTGGGCAGCAGGAGCCAACAATGCGCAGCAGTGGTTTCAAGTCGATTTTGGAAGCTGGACAAAGGTCACAGCAGTAGCGACACAGGGAAGGCAAGATTCTAATCAATGGGTGAAAACCTTTAGTATGTCATACAGCTATGATGGCGTGTTTTTCAAGATTGTGAACAACGAGCATGGTTTGAAAAAGGTAAGAGGTATAAAGAAAATCTTGTCATCCCCCTGTGCTCCCTCCGTGCCAGATCATCCTTCAGTTGACAAACAATTGGCACAAAGAAAATCTCCCCTTTAATTTTTACGTTTTTCTTTCGGCTGCTTTATTTTGCTGATTGAGCGGTAGGATTTGTTAGCAGCAGTTTTGTGAGTGAAAATTAAAACAACTTTTTGCATACTTAATTAAAGTTCTTGTAGCAGAACATATTTATGTCGAAAAAGAAGCCAAAACTGTGTCATTTGATAGTGTAAAAACATTTATCTTTTATACTGAAAGGCTGCTCGATTCCTTTTACGTCATTTAATTAAAAAAGGGAGGTGTTGCATTTATTTTGCCTATGGAATTTATCTTCAAAATGTCTTAAAGAATTAATTCCATCCGTTTTAGAGGCGGATCCAGGAATTTTTTATTGGGGGGTTGACCAAGCTTTGTTCAGAAGGGACTGTTGAACTTTTTTGTGGCATATTACCTCTCACAGAGCCGACCACGTGTTTCTCAATCTGTGAAGGCCAGGCGCTGTTGGCGAGGGAAATACCGCCTTGCGAGCAGAGGCAAACAGATCATAGGAGGGTACCGAAAAACAATTACAGTTTTGCGTATCCCTGGAATTTAGTTTAGTGGCAAAATGAAACGCCCGTTTCATTAAAAAGAAAAGCCAGTTGAAAAGTGCTATACGATCCTGTCGATGTACGAATTTTAGTCTCAAACAAGTGTTAGGTCTGATTGGAGTTTGCGGACCCTTAGACCCTTTCCCTATATCAGCCTCTGCGATTTTAGTTAAGAAGTATTTCGCGATCAACTTTGCTCAAACCGTCGTGCTGAAATGTTGAGGAAGCTAACACCAATGCTATTCATCCCAACAATTATGTCTCGATCGTGAAGATTCTAATCTCGTTTCTTCTGATTCTTTCGTCAGGTGTTTACTGCAAACTCTGATCGGTACACAGTAGTAAAGAATGGGCTGGAGAAACCAGTTATAACGCGGTACATACGGATTCATCCCGAGTCTTGGTATGGACACATTTCTATGAGGACAGAATTCTTTGGATGCAGGAAAGGTAATGAGATTTACAATTTGCTATCAGATAAGATTACTCAGGGCACTCACTCTCCAATAGTCAAAACAGACCGACCAGGCTATTTTCGTGGTAATGAGGTTTTCAGTTTTAATCAAACCTAACCCACCAGAAAAGTCGAGTATTCTTAAAGGAGATGGTTTTCAGCAAAAATTCTCGTTAAAAGTCAGTTTCATTTGCAAAAGAATGGTCCGGCCTGCCAGTTCTGACTTTCGGAAAGCGCCTTCGGTAGGTTCAGTGCTTAACTTCCAATATTTCAAAAAATACAAAAAGCAAATAAAAAATAACGTTTCTTTCTTTCTTTCCTTTTTACTTAAGGATTTGAACCCCCTAAAATATTATGTGCATCTGCTTTGGGAATGGAAAACGGGAAGATACCAGACACGGCCATTGTAGCATCGTCCAGATACAACCAATACTGGGGACCGGAGCGTGGCAGGCTAAACGAGAAAAAGGATGGTAATCACTTTTAAGCGTTTAATCACCCAATAAAAGGTGTTTAAAATCAACTGCTAAAGGTTTTGGATACTTGCTATCTAGCCTAAAGCATTTGAAGTGTGTGGAGTGCATCCGAGAAACCAGTCGCCCTTCCATGACACAGATTACAACCAGGAAAATGTTGGTCTCGACTGATTCTAAAACTTTTCATATTCCCTATTTGAAAAGTCAAGGGTTATCGAAAAGTGAATTGCTTCAGGATTTTTTTTGTCACTGATCTTGACTTGTCGTTTTCAAAAACAGCAGCAAAAACAACCTTTTTCTTGAGCTGCGCATATCTTTGTGCGAAAAATATTTAAAGATTGGTAGTAAAATTTTGTTCATCCGGACTGAAAACTGCGAATAAACGTTTTTCAGGAAGGTTTAATGGTGGATGGATTTCTCATTATGGAGACACTTAAATAAATAAATAAATAAATAATTAAATAAACAAATAAATAAAATAATTCTCTCAGACGACAGTGCCCTACTCGCAGGTGGTGCAAACTATTTTGTGTGTTTCGTCCAATATACCTTTTCAGGCAGTTTCAATGGTGGATGGGTTTCCCAATATGGAGGCGTTGATCAGTTCCTGCAGATTGACTTGAGTAATGTTACCAAGGTAACAAGGATCGCCACGCAAGGAAGGTATGATGCAGGCTGGTGGACAAAGACATACACTCTTTTATACAGTAATGATGGAGCAGCGTTCACAGCGTACAAGAATGGCGAGGTAACCCTGGAATACAGTGACCCCCGACCTTACAATATTATATAGATCTTTAAATTAGGACGAAAAAAGTTATTTTATTTTATATAACTTAATCTGTTATGTTGACATTTTGAAGGTCTTCCAAGGCAATACAGATTATAGAACTGCAGTGGGTCACATTCTAGAGCCTGCCATTATTGCTCGATTTATCAAAATCAACGTGAAAACATACCAAGGATATCCAACATTGAGAGTGGAGCTATTTGGATGCTCTGATGGTATGTGGAGTTTTCGTTTTGTATGAAATGACCATACAAAGGTCACTTCGGCTGTAATTTGTTTGAATTTGACTTTGATTACTATGTTTGGCTACTTGAAATTTCATAGGATTTGCTACCCCTAAACCACCTCAGTGTATGGAAGCCCTGGGAATGCAATCCGGTGACATACCTGACTCAGCCATCACTGCCTCAAGCTCTGCTAATGCCGTCAGTTATGCTCCTTCAGTTGGCAGACTTCACTTTCTATCTGCTGGTAGCGGTAGATATGGGAGCTGGGCAGCAGGAGCCAACAATGCGCAGCAGTGGTTTCAAGTCGATTTTGGAAGCTGGACTAAAGTCACAGCAGTAGCGACACAGGGAAGGCAAGATTCTAATCAATGGGTAAAAACTTTTAGTATGTCATACAGCTATGATGGCGTTTTTTACAAGATTGTGAACAACCAGCATGGTTTGAAAAAGGTAAGAGGTATGAAGAAAATCTTGGCACCCTCCTGCGCTCCCTCCGTGCCCGATCATCCGTCAGTTGACAAACAATTGGCACAAAGAAAATCTCCCCTTTAATTTTTACGTTTTTCTTTCGGCTGCTTTATTTTGCTGATTGAGCGGTAGGATTTCTCAGCAGCAGTTTTGTGAGTGAAAATTAAAACAACTTTTTGCATACTTAATTAAAGTTCTTGTAGCAGAACATATTTATATCGAAAAAGAAGCCAAAACTGTGTCATTTGATAGTGTAAAAATATTTATGTTTTATACTGAAAGACTGTTTGATTCCTTTTACGTCATTTAATTAAAAAAGGGAGGTGTTGCATCGACTTTGCCAATGGAATTTATCTTCAAAATGTCTTAAAGAATTAATTCCAGCCGTTTTAGGGGCGGATCCAGGAATTTTATTTTTGGGGGTGGACCAAACTTTGGTTCAGAAGGGACTGTTGAACTTTTTTGTGGCATATTACCTCTCACAGAACCGACCACGTGTTTCTCAATCTGTGAGGGCCGGTCGCCGTTGGCGAGGGAAATACTGCCTTGCGAGCAGAGGCAAACAGATCGTAGGAGGGTACCGAAAAACAATTACAGTTTTGCGTATCCCTGGAATTTAGTTTAGTGGCAAAATGCAACGCCCGTTTCATTAAAAAGAAAAGCCAGTTAAAAAGTGCTATACTATCCTGTCGATGTACGAATTTCAGTCTCAAACAAGTGTTAGGTCTGATTGGAGTTTCCGGACGCTTAGACCCTCCCCCTATATCAGGCTCTGCAATTTTAGTTAAGAAGTATTTCGCGATCAACTTTGCTCAAACCGTCGTGCTGAAATGTGGAGGAAGCTAACACCAATGCTATTCATTCCAACAATTATGTCTCGATCGTGAAGATTCTAATCTCGTTTCTTCTGAATCTTTCGTCAGGTGTTTACTGCAAACTCTGATCGGTACACAGTAGTAAAGAATGGGTTGGAGAAACCACTTATAACGCGGTACAGTCGGATTCATCCCGAGTCTTGGTATGGGCACATTTCTATGAGGACGGAATTCTTTGGATGCAGGAAAGGTAATGAGATTTACAATTTGCTATCAGATGAGATTACTCAGGGCACTCACTCTCCGTTAGTCAAAACAGACCGGCCAGGCTATTTTCGTGGTAATGAGGTTTTCAGTTTTAATCAAAACTAACCCACCAGAAAAGTCGAGTATTCTTAAAAGGAGATGGTTTTCAGCAAAAATTCTCGTTAAGTCAGTTTCATTTGCAAAAGAATGGTCCGGCCTGCCAGTTCTGACGTTTGGAAAGCGCCTTCGGTTAATTCAGTGCTTAACTTCCAATATTTATTTAGAAAAATACAAAAAGCAAATAAAAAATAACGTTTCTTTCTTTCTTTCCTTTTTACTTAAGGATTTGAACCCCCTAAAATATTATGTGCATCTGCTTTGGGAATGGAAAACGGGAAGATACCAGACACGGCCATTGTAGCATCGTCCAGATACAACCAATACTGGGGACCGGAGCGTGGCAGGCTAAACGAGAAAAAGGATGGTAATCACTTTTAAGCGTTTAATCACCCAATAAAAGGTGTTTAAAATCAACTGCTAAAGGTTTTGGAAACTTGCTATTTAGCCTAAAGCGTTTGAAGTGTGTGGAGTGCATCCGAGAAACCAGTCGCCCTTCCATGACACAGATTACAACCAGCAAAATGTTGGTCTCGACTGATTCTAAAACTTTTCATATTCCCTATTTGAAACGTCAAGGGTTATCGAAACGTGAATTGCTTCAGGATTTTTTTGTCACTGATCTTGACTTGTCGTTATTAAAAACAGCAGCAAAAACAACCTTTTCTTGAGCTGTGCATATCTTTGTGCGAAAAATATTTAAAGATTGGTAGTAAAATCTTGTTCATCCGCACTGAAAACTGCGAATAAACGTTTTTCAGGAGGTTTTAATGGTGGATGGATTTCTCATTATGGAGACACTTAAATAAATAAATAAATAAATAAATAAATGAAATAATTCTCTCAGACGACAGTGCCCTACTCGCAGGTGGTGTAAACTATTTTGTGTATTTCGTCTAATATACCTTTTCAGGCAGTTTCAATGGTGGATGGGTTTCCCAATATGGAGGCGCTGATCAGTTCCTGCAGATTGACTTGAGTAATGTTACCAAGGTAACAAGGATCGCCACGCAAGGAAGGTATGACGCAGGCTGGTGGACAAAGACTTACACTCTTTCATACAGTAATGATGGAGCAGCGTTCACAGCGTACAAGAATGGCGAGGTAACCCTGGAATACAGTGACCCCCGACCTTACAATATTATATAGATCTTTAAATTAGGACGAAAGAAGTTCATATTTAATTTTATATAATTTAATCTGTTATGTTGACATTTTGAAGGTCTTCCAAGGCAATACAGATTATAGAACTGCAGTGGGTCACATTCTAGAGCCTGCCATTATAGCTCGATTTATCAAAATCAACGTGAAAACATACCAAGGATATCCAACATTGAGAGTGGAGCTATTTGGATGCTCTGATGGTATGTGGAGTTTTCGTTTTGTATGAAATGACCATACAAAGGTCACTTATCTGTAATTTGTTTGAATTTGACTTTGATTACTATGTTTGGCTGCTTGAAATCTCATAGGATTTGCTACCCCTATACCACCTCAGTGTATGGAAGCCCTGGGAATGAAATCCGGTGACATACCTGACTCAGCCATCACTGCCTCAAGCTCTGCTAATGCCGTCAGTTATGCTCCTTCAGTTGGCAGACTTCACTTTCTATCTGCTGGTAGCGGTAGATATGGGAGCTGGGCAGCAGGAGCCAACAATGCGCAACAGTGGTTTCAAGTCAATTTTGGAAGCTGGACAAAAGTCACAGCCATAAGGACACAGGGACGGCAAGATTCGAGTCAATGGGTCAAAACCTACAGTATCTCGTACAGCTATGATAGCGTATTTCATAAGACTGTATACAATGAATATGGTTCAAAAAAGGTAAGGAATTGCTACAGGAAAAGCATGGGTAAAGTACCCTACCGGCCATCGTTCTTATTATAGAGAAAAACTATAATTTGTTTTTGGAGTGTCAAAATACTTTTGGAGTACAGATTAATAAAGTTATGCTCTTTTTACCGTATTCCTTGGGATATTTCAATCATTTTTTATTATATTACTGTTTGGCAGCTGATTAACATACAGAGAGTGAATTGAGCAGTCTTCAAAAAGAGCAATGCGAGTAAGGGATGTCTTACGTTATCTAACGTGGTCCTCTGTGTCAATGATAATTTGAAACTTTGACCGTTTAGTAGTGTTGAGAAAAACTTTGTATAACGCAAGTAAAAAAGGTCACTATTGTAGAAGTCGGACAATTTTTCTTACTGCCTGCGCAAAATCTTTGATGTAACGGACTTCCCAATATTAGTTTACGCTACAAATTAAGACGCCCTTACAGGAACAATAATTTTTTTCAAGCAGGACGGCAAACCTGCTTTACAATTCAAGCAGGTGCAAGTGTATTTTATAATCTTTCAAGTTTTTTCTACAACTTTCAGGGCCAGTTAGTTGTTGAGTTTGATTTTATAACTGGGAGTCGCTTGATGCGTGAAATCTTTGTGTAGGTTTTTTTTTATGACATTAGCCTTATCGTTTCAGATATTCACTGCCAACTACGACCGTTACACCGTAGTAGAGAACATGCTAGATAAACCAATTGTCACCAGGTACTTAAGGATCCATCCAGAGTCATGGCAAAGTCACATCTCAATGAGAACGGAGTTTTTGGGCTGCAAGAAAGGTATATACCTTGTACTTAACACAGATACTGTGATGATATCCAAGTGATGAGACCTACTTTATAAACGAATGGGTTTATCTCTTTAATGAAAGTCTACAGGGGCTTATATTTCTGCATTTTATAAAGCTAGTTCAGTAAACGTTGTCGAAGTTCAAAACTTAATTAAAAAGCCGAATTCACAAGGCCGCAAGGTCATGTGGGTATACCACTGAATCCTTTGCAATTCGATCTGTCTTAACGTCGAGCTTATCAGAGCCATAAAATTGTATAAAAATTGATGAAACGTTTAACTTTGTGTTTTTATGACGGACGAGTTGCTTCATAGTTGAGTTTAGTTTATGAGATTACCCATATTGCTATGCTGTCTCATCTCGCATGCTTCCTGATATTGTTCATTGAATTAGTGATTTTTTCGGTGGATAGCGCCATCCAGCTTTGAACAACTGAAGCCTAATTAAATCGCAAGCGTTTTACGATGTAGGTGATTCTTTGCGATCGTCTACAAGGTTTTCTCAATTAATAACAGGCTTTCTATTGAAACTTTACCATCGTTGTTACCATAACAGGGTTTGCTCCGCCGAAAATCGTTTGCGCGGATGCTCTTGGAATGGAAAGTGGAGAAATTCCTCGTTCCGCCCTTAAATCGTCGTCAGATTATAACCAGTATTTTACAGCTGAAAGAAGCAGGTTAAACGAGAAAAAAGATGGAAGTTATTACGGTGGCTGGGCTTCCAAACACGCCGATGTTGGACAATGGCTACAGATTGACTTGGGGAAAACAGCTAAGATCACCAGGATCGCTACTCAGGGGCGATACGATGCAAACTGGTGGGTTACAAAGTATAGACTGACATACAGCGACGGTGGGATATTCAAGTCGTATAAAAATGGACAGGTGAGTATTTAACAGCATCAAAAAAATCATTGCATCATCATCATCATCAATGCAGTCAGCATGGATTCGAAAAAAACTGTTTTAGGGTTCAGCATAGTTTGATGAGTCTTCCCCACTTACGTATGTTGTTGGCGCTCTCCTGCTAACGGTTCAGCTCGATATCTCTCCATTTCATGCTTCTCTTAGCAACATCCTTGAACCTTAACGTAGGCCCTCCTTGATTATGCATTCCCAAACAGAGCTGATAATTTAATAGCTGCTTTGATAGAATGCATTTGATGAGTGAACAATCCATCACTTGGCAAAGACTGTTTCGCCATGATAGGAAGAGCTGACATGACAGGATCAAAAATTAACGCCGCTATGGTGCTTTGCTGCCACAAAACAGAAATTATTTTTGTTTTTTCTTTATCTTTATAGCATATTACCACATAAACTACATATAAAATGAATATCTGCCATAAAAGCATTTTTATTCAGCATTTTGATCATTCATTTGATATGCATACCCTTTTAAGGGCATTTTGAGACTCTTATATCGTTGGCTATAGAGTATGCTATTGTAGCTTTTCTTCAAACAACCCCATACAAAGATTCTACAGCTATTTCTGCTCTGCATACCTGGAAAACCCCTGGATTGTAATTGTAGACTCGTTGAAAGAAAATTTAAAGAAGATTAGGATATACAAGATAAGAGACAACAAAAGTGGAATTTTTTACAAAAATGTACATTTCCGCACTTTGTGTGAAAAATAGTAAAAATCGTTTTCTTTCCTTGCAACAGATAGACAAACCAGTATTTTTAAATATAATACCAATATTACTACTGCACCACACGTACCGTTACCTTACGCATGCGCACAACCATATCACCCCGGCAGTGGTAGCCATGGATGGTTCGTGTGCTTCAGAGCTAATATTGGAGTAATTTTTGAATATGAAGCTTGTCGATTAAGGTGTACCCAACAACTAGTTAATAACGTTTTTGGTATCTTTGCTAAGGAAATCACTGGAAACAGGGATCGAAACACCCCCCATGGCCATGTTTTGGACCAACCAATCATAGCACGGTATATCCGCATCCATCCAGTTGCTTGGTATGGGTACATCTGTATGAGAGTAGAGCTGTTTGGCTGCAGGAAAGGTATATTTATTATTGCCGGTTTTATGATTAAGTTCATGTCAAGGCGGCAATATATATCTTATTCACGTTAACTCTGTTATGATGAAGCAATCATAGACTAATCTTTAACTGGCTTATACATATGTTGTCACTCTAGATACTGCAAATAGGGTCCTAGGGCCCGCAAATCGATATTAACATTTAACATTAAGGCCCTGTTTACTAGGAGGAAGGATAACCCTAGTAAGAGGGTTACCCTGCCTACCTTGTTAACGCTCTGATAGGGATAACTCGCCTACCCGGGACAACTTTCCTCCGTCATGCGTGACCAGATATCTTGACAATTTGAACGGAGTTATCTAATTTCTAAGCTAAATCATAAACATTTCAACAATAATTTATAAGGGAATTTCTATACGCGATGATGATATTTTTCCGTTTTGTCGCAAATTTAAGGTGTTTTCCACTGAGAACTTCAAGTTTTCTCTCAAATCTTAGACGTTACAAATAATGTTTATTTTAGTCTTATGTGGTCATGCGTGACGAAACACGTCAGTAAAGCTCGTTAAGTTGACCCTGGTGATGAGGTAACCCTACCTGTGAAGGTTTAGTCGTCAACCGGGGCTATCTTTAGCCCGATCACTGGGGTAACCCCAGCACAAAGGAAACATTTTCTCCTTGGAAACAGGCCCTAACTCTGTAAACTGAAGTTTGTATTAGGCGTAAGAGAAAATGAAAACATTTTTCGTCGTGGCAAAGAAGGCTCCCTGTTTTGAGTGAGTAGCAAAAAGGACAGGTGAAACTTTGACACACTCAATTTCAGAACTTATATCAATGATTTTCTACCAATGTCTGTTTAATTTTCGTTAATATTGATCAAAAAATATTTATTAGCCGACGTCAGTCCGTTAAGAAATTTTCCCAATTCTAGAAGTCGATGGGCTATTCTTATCGAACTATGTTGTTTCATTTACTCTTATCTATTCCTGGCCCTCATGAGCCATGGCCTCTTATGCCTGCTCTTTTTTTTTCTTTTCGGTCATTCCGATACATTGTTGTTTTGATGTTCTGGGCACATACCTAGCATTAGTGAAAAGCCAACATTTTGCGACGAGAACACTGATTTCTCCCAAAAATGACTCCTGAAGAACAAGCGCAGAAATTCCATACGATGACGTGTCACTAATACCTGGGTACTGCTTCTGATTGGTTGAAGCAAATTTCCCTTGTGTCACGACCAATCAGAGTTACTTCCTAGATCTGAGTAGTGGCGCGCCATCAGTACGTATGGTATTTTTGCGTTCGCTCCTCAGACGCCTATTCGCTGGGAAAGTAGAGTTGAACTCTCTAAATGTCGGCTGTTTTCTCACGCTAGAACAGCCCAGTATGCATTGTACACTTAATGCCAGGTCCCGAAGGAAACAGTTAGTGTTGTTTTCCCGAGGGTCTTTAAGTTACCCGAGACGAAGTATTTTGATATATTCCTAGACTTTCACTTCAACAGCGACAAAGAATTTTAATTCTTGGTCTGATTCGATGAGTTCTTAAAAGAACTAATCTATTTTTTTTTTAGTTCTTAAAAGAATTAATTGAATCAGTTTCGGTACTTATACCTTTTTTTCCTCCACTAGCTGCTACATCTTTTCTTAGATAGCTTAGAAAATCGCTACTCTGTTTAGCTTAGACCTCCATGTTTGTGTGCCTTCCTCCCTTAACCCAACATTTTCCTTGGGTTATGGGAGTGGTAGCAGCATTTTCTCCTGGTCCAGAAGCCATTGATCCACGATCCTGGGCCCTTGACTGATCCCTCATTTCACTGTTTTTGACAGGTTTTACCCCTGGGGAAGTGGAAAAGTGTAAGCGAATTCTGGGAATGCAAAACTATCAAATCCCTGACTCGGCCATTAGGGCGTCCACATCGTACAATGTGAAATCAATGGGACCTGAAAATGGAAGGCTGCACTTCCAGTCCAAAAGTGGCAAGTATGGCGCCTGGGCTGTGTCTAGGAATGATAAGTTCCAGTGGTTTCAAGTTGACTTTGGAAGTTACGCAAAAATCACAGGGTTATCAACTCAGGGAAGACAGGATGGTTCTTGGTGGGTGAAGACTTACAGTCTTTCATTCAGTCATGAAGGTGTTTTCTTTGAAGACTACAAGGAAAATAATGCAACGAAGGTAAAATAAATGTACAAGTTGTCGACAAGTGTAAAATATGCAAAAGCTTAGTGGTTGTTCCTGCAAATTGTAAAGGTCATAACACTTTTTTTTTCACATATTTGTCGTCACTGACAGATCTGATAGTCTCGGTGTTATCGTCTCACTCTGATGGAGAACCTATGTTTCGATCACGAACGGATATATATGCTGCAGAACGTAGGATCTATAGAAAACCTGATCACCAAAAATAAACCAAGTAAACACAATGGTTGCAGCTCTTTATGCCTACAACCCTTCTCTGTTTAGATTCAGTCGGTGTCGTACTTTTGTCTTTCAGGCTTTACTTTTTCTTAGTACGAACTGCTTTGCAGATTTCAATGTGTTTAAGTAGTAGAACTAGTTATTTTAAATGTCTCACAGATTATGTATCAACGTTTAAAAAACGGTCCTATTTAATTTCAAATTTGTAGATAACTTTGTTTTTCCTTTCTAGGTTTTTGTTGGCAATACTGATAGGTATACCGTCGTGAGCCATGATCTCAAGAATCCCATTATCACAAAATTTATCAGAATAATTCCTATTTCCTGGCAAGGCTATATATCTTTGAGAGCTGAATTCTATGGTTGCAGGGAAGGTAAGTGTTATTATCAATTAAGAAATGTCTTGTTTCGACGCCAGGATTCGAACCCGGGCCACATTGGTAGGAGACGACTGCCTCCACCACTGCGTCACCCTTGCTTCCCCAATAACCCTTCTTCCCTCAACAATCAACATTTTCCCTCTTTTTTCTTAAACATTACCATGGACGTTAATGTGTTTGTTTCAGTGCGATAAAAAGGACTACTATACCTGACCTATACTACTGATGCATTTGGAATTGAACTGACTGATCAGTCTAGGCAATATTAAAAGGCTTAACTCGTAAAAAGATGGATTTTGTTTTGCCTAGGGTTCGATCCTCCAAAGGTCGTTTGTGTAACTCCTCTCGGATTAGAAAATGGTCAGATTCCGGACAGTGCAATGGTGGCATCTTCGCAGTATAATCAGTATTACGGACCGGAACGGGCAAGACTGCGTAAATTGACTCAAGGAAGTTACGTCGGTGGATGGTCTCCAAAGTCCTCAAATGAAGGAGAGTGGATACAGTTTGACTTGGGAAAGAACACCAAAGTGACCAGGATGGCCATTCAGGGAAGAGAAAACGCAAACTGGTGGACCACCAGCTACTCGCTGTCCTACAGGGTTGATGGTGGCAGTTATGAAATTTACAATAACGGCCAAGTAAAGTATATGAGACATTTGAATAATACAATACGTTTTCGAATCTTTATAATATGTCGATAGTTATGTATAGGCGACGCTTAATCAGGCTTTGGCCTGCAGGGCTATGCGGTCACGTTAGGGTTGAAACAGATCCTTTAAATTTTCAGTGTAAATAAAGCGAGTTATTCAATCTTCTCGAGCAGGTATTTCCTGGCAACAGAGACAGAAATACGCCCGTGGGTAATGTCATGAACCCACCCATCATCGCCCGCTATATCAAATTTCACCCCAAGACATGGAATGGTTTCATTTCTTTGCGGGTTGAACTCTATGGATGCAGAGAAGGTTAGTACATTCTTAAAAGACCTATCCATCTAGGGAAAGAAAATTAGTTTCAAAGGGGCGCTTGAAGCAGCAGCTCTCAAGAACTTAACTAAGACGGACGCTGCTGGTCACTGAATAGTACCAATGGTAAGTTCCAATGGCGAATCAAAGGGAAAAAAATGAAGAACAGCACAAATCAGCCATAGATGTCCATTAATTAAGAGAGAGAATGTGAAAGCGCCAAAACTAATCGATGAGATAGCCAAAAAATGAACTAAAAGACTGAAGTTCTATAGCTCCCTGAGAGGCCGTTATTTTTGAATAAACCTCATAGGAACCCTTGACTCTCCTTTTTTTTCCTTTTTAAGTGTAAATTACTCAGTGTAGTTTTTAAGGAGCTATGTTATGGCTGTATAGTTCTTTTTTTTTTTCAATTATGCTAATTACACGTCCTTATTCCTTATGGAACTTGTGAAATTACTAAGCTTTTGAACGACAGCATCAGAGGTTAAGTAAAAGAAATTTGTCTCCCAAGCATTATATCAAACGTTGCAAACAATAAAAGTGAACTGTGAAAAACTGTTAGCCTAGAAAGTTTTCAAAAACCACAATTGCAAGATCCGTTTCAATCTTCTTCAATTTTGTCCATCCGTGTCTCCTTCAGTTGCATTTGCTTTGTTGTTTGTACCTTCTTTTCCTGTTTTTGTCAATCATTTTGATGTTGCACTCAGTCTGGTGGTAGTTTTCACCGTTTAAGTTTGGATAAACTTCTTGACACAGCTCCTTTAATATTCACTTCTACAGGATTTTTTTTCTGTTTTACCTATTACGTTTAAATTCCTTGGAAATCTTCCTTAGTTTGGTAAACGTCTTTATCACAGGGTTCACTACACCAAAGCCGCCTACCTGTGCAGCTCCATTGGGCATGCAGAACAACCAGATACCAGACTCCGCTCTCAGAGCTTCTACCTCATACAATGCCAACTCAATGGGACCAGCAAACGGGCGACTGCATTTCATGGCAGGATCTGGTAAATATGGATCTTGGGCAACATCCACCAATAATCAGTTCCAGTACTTTGAGGTAAACTTCGGCGACTGGACTCGGGTTACGAAGATCGCGACTCAAGGGAGGCAAGATGGAGGGTGGTGGACAAAGAGCTACAGTCTTGCTTACAGTTATGAAGGGGTTTTCTTTGTAGACTATAAAGAAGATGGTAAAGTCAAGGTATGCTAAGAATTGCGGTTCGTCAGAATGAAGAGTTTTGTTCAGTCGATTACGGCAAAATGCAAAACACATTTTTGCACATTTTTTTTACTGGAAAGAGTAAACCGGTTTAAAACACGCACGAGAGCGACTGTTTAAAATTCAATTTTTGTTCATTTTATGACTAGCTTATCTATATTTCTAGTTGATCTTGCAAAAGTTTTATTGCCAAATGGTAGGTGGCCACTACCCCCTCCCATTAATTATAACTTGATTGTTTGCTATGGGTCGATCAAGGCTGAAAATTCGCCGTTTTTTTTTTTTTTGTCGTGTCTGTGCAGGTGTTTACAGGAAATAACGATATGTACACAGTGGTACGGCACTCCTTGAAGTATCCGATCATAACACGGTATCTTCGAATCAAGCCCAAAGCGTGGAACGGCTACATAGCATTACGAGCCGAGTTCTATGGCTGCAGACAAGGTGAAGTCAGTTTTGATTTTCCATTTCCATTAATCATGTTCAGCAAGAAACCTTTTTTTGCATAATAGTTATATTTGTAGTCACAGTCATCATCATCATCATCATCATCATCACTGACGTTTCGTAGCACATACTGGCAGTCAATGAGTAAAAAGACTGGCAATTATATTTACAGACCTTAAGCAAAACGTCTACAGTCTGAAGTTTGCATGTTTTTATTAATAGGTTTTACACCTCCGGAAATTAAATGCAGAAATCCCTTGGGCATCGAAAGCGGAAAAATCCCAAGTACCGCTATCGTAGCATCAACGATGTACAACCAGTACTATGGACCTGACCGTTCCAGGCTTCGCACGGTACGAGAAGGAAGCTATGGTGGAGGCTGGGCTGCTCAATATAATGACGCAAATCAATTTCTACAGTTTGATCTGGGTAAGGTTGCTATGGTGACGGCCGTCGCTACCCAAGGTCGATCGGACGCTCATTGGATGGTTACGAGCTACACTTTGGCGTATAGTTTAGACGCTGGTTCGTTTACACCTTATGGATATGGAGACGGACAGGTTAAAACACTTTTTCTCCATGCTCTTATATATTTAAGTGATAAGAAACAGACTGCGGTGGTGCTTTAACGTCAAAGCACAAATTACGCAATAACCAACTCTTTAATTCTTAAGCTAAATGTTTGATTGCAAAATGTTGAAGTGTAGATTAAAAAGAGTTTTTAAACTTCCTTGATATGTACACTAGTTTGTAAGCGGGCAATATGTGCTCGTGATTGAGGAGTTTGCGATTGATCGTAAAAAATAGGGAACTGAAGAAGCGTTGGTTTCAAAACACTGTTCCGGAAGATTTCCGAGCAATGTTAAAGCTGTGTTCTGTATAATCGCTAAGAGTCCAAGTTTGTTGAGTGTTATGTAGTGATCACATGCAAACGACACTAAACCTGAAATCATCGTGCGCGTTCGTTGTTATTCATGTGATCACGTGAGTAGTTTCCAGGGTCCTTGCAGTGATAACTATTCCACAATGCATTTGGACGTTTAACTCAAAAGGGATAAACTGGTAGCAATATGATTGCCATTTTACATAGCATTTAACTCTTTCCTTTTCTGTTTCAACAGAAACACAACACTTATTATTACGTATATATTATTAATCGTGAATTATGCAAATCCAAGTTAATATGAGCGTCGAACACATGTATTTCCACCAGAGACCTTGAAGAAGCTGTCTAATATTAGTTTAGATATTTCAAGTCAACTTTTGGCCATACGGGATTGTCTTCTATGTTTGCTAGTCTAGTTATTTCTTTAAAAATGACTTGAAACACAAGCGTGAATTGGCCTTCAATTTTGCCTATCAAAAATCTTACATTTTAACAAGAGCCATAATGGGAGGGCGGCTCTTGATTTTATTATCTTATGTGTTGGCAAAGCATATGACATAAACGGAGTAAAATACAAAACTACGGTCTGTTACCGATTTGGAGTAGCTCGTCTCTGATCTGCGTTGAATCAATATTCATTATATATACAAGAAGATAACCTTTCTTGACTTTCCCTTATTAGGTATTTACAGGCAACGTGCTGGGCAGCAATGACCCAGTTGGAAATATTATCAATCCAGCAATCATTGCACGATTTCTACAAATCCGCGTCAAAACATGGAGGGGTCATATAGCTATGCGAGCAGAATTTTACGGATGCACTGAGGGTAGGACTTCCTCTTGTAGATTTAATTACAGATTTTATGAACAGCCCACGTTCGATATATTAACATTTGTAACACGACTGTGAGGCTTAAGGGACAAAATTGCAAATTTTTCACGAATCCATTGTCTTGCAATTGCCAAACGAAACTCAAGCACAAAGAAAATCAATTTTCTGATCAGCATCCCGAAGGCAACCTTTCTGACTGAACCACCATTATTTTTCTTATAAAGGCTGACGTTCACTGTCTTTCACCGCCTTTGGTCAACGGCATTATTTTTCATTCCGTGAAGTTGGATTATAAAAGTAACGAGTGTCACTACCTCTTAAAGTGTCTCATACTGTCAATGTCAACAAACGTTGTTACTCCTTCATTTTATGAGAAAAGGGTTTTTTTTAAAGTCACTGACACAGGCCGCTCGGAAGAAAATACCCGAGTACTCCTAACGGGAGTCCAACCTATGACCCACTGGTTATTAGCCCAAATGTTCTACACCACTGAGCCACTGGAGACTCGTGGAAGCTAAGGCCGCTAAACTAGGTTTATTTTAGTAAGACTGGCTGTGAAATTGGTGATTACCTTGTTTTTCTTTTGAACTTCTGGTTACTAGTCCAGATTTTCTACCACTGAGCCACAGGAGACTCCTGGAAGCTAAGGCCACTAAACTAGCTTTATTTTAGTAGGAACTGTGAAATTGCTGATTACCAAGTTTTTCTTTTACATTTAGGCAATTTCACAAAGCCAAAGCCACCAATCTGTTTAGAAGCCCTAGGGATGCAGAATGGAAAGATTGAAGACTCTGCAGTATCAGCCTCGACCGAGTACGGAACTGCCTATAAGGCGATAAATGGAAGGTTGCACTTCGTGTACAGATCCGGGAGAATAGGCGCCTGGGCAGCAAAAACGAATGACGCGTATCAGTTTCTTCAAGTGAACTTTGGCGATTGGACAAAAGTGACGCGTGTGGCTATTCAAGGACGATCAGATTACAATCAGTGGGTGAAAAATTTCACCCTTTCATACGGCTATGATCATATCTTTTTTACAGATTACAAAGAAGATGGAATCAAAAAAGTAAGCGGTAGACAAGAAAATTGCTTTAGAAAGGAAAACAAATTAATTTGCATTATCAAGCTTCAGTGTTGTAATAATGAAATTCACTATGTTTCTTTATTATTAACTCCATGAAATAAAGATCTTTTTTGTAGGACAAAAAACATTAAATGCATGCTGTAAATAATTGTGCTATAACGGCAAAATGTGTCAGAATACGCCTTATTTTCCTGTTGCATTAAAGATCCAGACAAGAAGTGTGCGTTTTACTTACTATTTAAAATTTAAGCGAATTTAATTCGTCAGCGAAATGCATCTCTTAGAGGAGAATGCCGGTGAAATTGCTTTTAAAAGTAACGTGGTTTTCTTTTTTGTTAGTATTTCTCAGGAAATAATGATAGATACACACCAGTGAGTCACGATTTAAAAGATCCCATCATCACGCGCTACATTCGTATCCACCCAGTGGCATGGTATGGACATATTTCTATGAGAGCCGAGTTTTATGGATGCAAAGATGGTAAGAAACTTTCCAAAACAAAGTCAGGTCAAGTTCAAATTTCAACGTAAATCGTTGTGTAGTGATTTTTGTCTTTAAGTTAGGGCGTTTCATTGTTTGAGGTCACTACTTTTTCTGCTACTTAATAGGGACCGCCAGAAGAGTTCATCCCGAACGGTGACTGGTAAAATGGGTTCTTTGTCTAAATGGCGTTTCCGTTGCTCAGAGGGCCACGTTCTGGCTTAATGTCAGATTTCTATAAACAAAGACGATGGCACCTCATAATAGTCATTGATTACTTCTAGTTCATAAATATAAAAGTCAATATTCTATCGCTTGAGGGCTGTTCTCACTGGGCCTTGTTAAACTGACGTTTTCTCCCGTGACCATTTTGTACTGTCAGGGTTTTCGACACCTTGTTGGTGTTGTCTTTGACCAAGATTCTCAGAATGCAAGGAAGGTAGCACTGACTGAAAAATCACCGGCAAGTTTTACGAAAGTTGAGGTTTCTCCCGTTTTAGCTGGCCTAATTAGTAACCTTATAAATCTAATGAATGCCACTAACCTCACAAAACAGAATTTTTTAATTGGTTTTCACTTGAGCCAAACGTATCACGGGACCTGGGGTATAACACTGAGACAAATACTACTTCGGGACTTTTGGCTGTGCATTTTTTTTTTTATTGGAAGAGCAGATTACAAATATTATCAGAAAAAAAAATATCATATTCCCCTTATGTGACCTGTATAACCACACCACCGAGCACCAAGCCTCCTCCTCTTTTCGAACAGCAGTGTGGAATTTTCTAGAACTTCTTGTTCGAATTGGCAAGTAAGGATAATGACGGAGACGAAACTGAAGGATCATTATAATAACGCGTTTTAAATGATTGAAATAATTTTTGCAGTGAACTTTTAACCCTTTCAACTTTAGGATTTCAGCCACCAAAACTTGACTGTCAGTCGGCACTTGGCATGAAAAGTGGACAAATACCCAACAGTGCAATAACTGCAACTAGCAGCCTCAATCAGTATTTTGGTCCGGAACGTGCCAGACTCGAGACAGTGAAATCAGGAAGCTATGCTGGAGCATGGATTCCAAAAGCAAACGACCAGGGGCAATGGATTCAAGTTGATCTCGGTAAAATTACAAAGATAACTCGAATTGGTATTCAGGGCAGACAAGATGCAAGTCAGTGGGTCAAAAGCTACTCACTTACCTACAGCGTTGAAGGAGGTCCATTCCTGCCTTATAGTGGCGGCCATGTAAGTACCATATATCTAACGCACGATGTACTGCTTTCTGTTTGGTTTCCTAAACTTAAAAATACCATCGTATTGAGCAGATATGTAAGCAGGGATGGCACAGCGTTGAACGCACTTGCCTCTCGCCAAATTAAAATGACTCGGGTTGTCGAGTCCTCGTTCAAGTTTTGCTGATGGTTCTTCAGTCTCCGCTGTGAGAGATTGTTCCCCGGGATCTGCGGTTTTCCCCCGCCTCTAAAACCAACATTCCAAGTTCCATTCGATCTGGAAATTGTCCCAAGTTTCTTGGGGACACTAAGAAGGCGACGTGCTCATCAGTTCTTGGTACTAAACAACTGTCAAGTGTCATCCACCAAATAACGTTTAGTTTGATTTGTTAGTTCATTTCCTTTTATTGCTAGTTGTAAAATGTTTGTCATTCATTTGAGACCAATCTTAGCGTGCACTGCAGCCGGTGTAGTCACTCAAAACCTGGGTATAATATGGACTTCATCAACTTTACTGGTTGATTGCTGTCTGTGACGGATGTCAGTGGCATGTAGGCTTAAAAATCTTCTTTTTCCCGGAAGAAAACTTATACATACATGTAACTTAGCATCTCACGTTGCTTTTATTCTGCGGCAGGTTCTTCATGGAAATAAGGACAGGAACACAATCGTTGGAAGTATCCTCAATCCGTCTATCATCGCACGTTACTTGCGGATCCACCCAAGAGAATATTATGGTTATATGGCTCTACGATTTGAGCTTTTTGGGTGCACCAGTGGTTAGTATCTAGTCATTATAACTCTTTTCAATCAAGAAAACATGAAAATTGACCTTATAAACATGATATCTATTGCACCTTATCTGTTGGTTGCGACACCATTCTCACGAAATATGATTAACACTAGTTTGCTATCATTTTAAATGGTAATGCAACACAATGCACCGCTGAACACGTTTTATTATTGTTATTATTATTATTACTATTTATCTCATGTTCTAGAACGTTTGAGGTAATTTAATTGAAACTTCAACAAAAATGTAAAGAAAGAGAGCAGAAACCTGTTTTGAACTCAATTCCACTTTGCAGGATTCCCTATTCCAAAAGTTCCACCTTGCCAAGTTCAACTAGGAATGCAAAATGGTAAACTTCCAAATTCAGCGTTATCAGCCTCGTCACAATTGAACTCGTACTATGGACCAGAAAATGCAAGGTTACATTTCCACCCACAGAGTGGCCGTAACGGAGCCTGGATTCCGAAGAAACAAGATCACCATGAATGGTTTCAGGTGGACTTTGGAATCGAGACACACGTTACCCGGATTGAAACTCAGGGGCGCCAGGATGCAAGCCAGTGGGTGAAAGCTTACACACTTAGATACAGCCTTGATGGATCATACTTCAATCATTATCAACCTTCAATCGGTTTTCATCCGTCTCCACACAATTTTTATTTATTTATTTATTTATTATTTCCACAATAAAGATTACACAAGCATTACATTATACAAAGATGTGGCGAGGGGACCTCAGAAAACCACAAGGCTTGTACGAGACCACAAGGCTTGTACGAGGACATACCAAGGTTACATTAATACCAAGGTTACATTAATTACGTTTGATTATTAGGAAGTACTATCTCTTCAACCATACTAGGCCATTTGCATGATGACGTCATTTTACTACTACGACCAGAATTCTTTTCGTTTTTCTTTTCATATTTAAATGTGGTAGCCCCAGTGAGGTTTCGATAACAAAAGCCCTAATTTGCACAAGAAAGCAAAGTCCTGATTGATTCTGGTCGTAATAGTAAATGGCCTATTGAGCCAACTTTTTCCACGTCTTTAAAAAAGTCAGTAACGAAGAGGCGGAACCAGGTAGTTGCCAACGGAGTCCGGCAAAGGCCTGAGTACCTCATGAAAGCGGACGGTCAAAAGTAGTCGAATTTTCTAATTAAGTGTTCATGTATGATCACGTGGAATCATTTTTAAACCGCCTATAGATCAATAAAGCAACGGCGATTGAGAGATTTCTATTTTTATAGAAGGTTGCAACTAAATAATGCACAGCTAATAAGTCATTTGCATGATCTCCTACTAAATTTTTTCTTCCTACAGACATTTGTCGCAAACAACGATCGATACACGGTTGTCGGACACGACTTAAAACCACCAATCAGGACACGATACTTGAGAATTATTCCTGAGCAATGGCAAAGTTACATTGCCTTGAGAGCAGAATTTTACGGCTGCAAAGCAAGTAAGCCTTTCGGTGTGTTATTGCTATGTCTAAAATAAACGGCAGTAAATTATAAAAGGTCTTTACATGTTCGTGACCCAATATAAGTGTAATAGAGTAGTATAGTAGGCACCCGCTACGCCTGTTAATAGCAAAGAAATCTGATTAGGTTGCTCGTGAATCAGTACACAAACGTAGAACTGAGATATCGTGGAATCACTTGCAAACCTGACAAAAAGCAGCTTAAACGTCATTGTAAACCAAAACTACAACAAGGTATCATCTTCATATTTCCTAAAAACCCTCTGGTTTTGTTTCTGAGCTTTAATAAATTCATCGATCGAAGAAAATGTGTTCTTCCCTGGGTAAAGAAGATTTCTCTGCCAAAAAATGGCGCAACCAGTGCCTACAATACCACGCAATCGAAAACACAAAGATATATTTGTCCAATGTGGACGATAATAACCATGCATCCAAATAAAAGGAAAAGAATATTTCTGCCTTTTTTTGTTTTGTTTGTTCTTGTTGTGGTATTTTTTCGATGGGTAAGCAAGTCATGACCTTAGGCCAAATGTGATAATTGCCTCCAAATTAACATATCTATTCTCTGTATGCATTTTAGCTAAAAGAGACCTTTGTGCCACTTGAAATAGCTGACACATAGAACATTTTTAATGCTGTTGGTCCATTTAATCTTGTAGACGACGGTGGTTACTCAGAATGGAGTTCGTGGTCTCAGTGTTCCGCAACCTGTGGGGGAGGACGCCACACTCGAAGTCGCTCTTGTACTAATCCCCCTCCAAGCGCTGATGGCAAGGACTGTTCCGAGTTGGGACCCGAAAAGGAAACTGGTGAATGTAACAACCAGGGCTGTCCAGGTACATTTAATTTGAATAAAGATAATCATAATAAAGGTAATGATTGAATTCCCTTAGCTTGCAGTAACCCTTTAAGCCCCAATATCCACATACAAATTCTCCAAACTAATCTCCATACATTTCCTTTAAGAATTAGTTGGGAGCATTTGATAGCAGATCAAAGCATTCATTCTTTGGTGATCATTTCATAAATTCTCATAACCTTATCTCTTGACAAGGTATGAATATTTTTGGGAGAAAATTGATGTTGGTCACCATTTGGACTTGAAGGGTTAATGCAGACACTGATTTTGAGATCAGTCCAGTTTCGAATCATCAAAATTTATAAAATAACTAAAGATGGTACGCGCGTTCTGATTGGTTAAAAAGCTATGGTTTATTGTGCCAGTAGACTCAAAGAAAACTGAAACATTTTTCTACCCCCGAAAAATTTATTTTGTAAAAGCAACAGACCACACTTTCCACAGTTTACCGGCGTGCTAACCCACTTGGGATGTTGGGAGAACACTCAAAAGCTTGTAAATTACGAGCCGAATTTTAATACTTCGAAACTGGTTTACCTCAATAACAACGTCAGACTTCTCTTATTTTCCAAAAATACCATAGTCACAAATACATAATTTTAATTATGTATTTGTGACTGAAAAGTTACGCTTACGTTCCTGGAAAAATGGCATTTGGTGAAAAAAGAAATCTAAACATTGTTGTTGAGCCATATAATGATGAGATCTTTTTTATTCAATAAAATGACGCATCAAATCTTGCACACACTCGTTCTGGCTTTTTGGTCAGGGAGATTATATTGATCAATTTTTTCCCTATAGCAAGTGCTGTGTTTCATAAGGCGCGTGCTTTATTGCTATACAATAATCCTGGTCTATACAATGCTTTGAACCTTTCTAGTAGAAATGTGTAACGAAAAACAACAATTATTATTGTTCATTCGGCAGTGAATGGTGGTTATTCTGCCTGGGGACCTTACCGCAATTGTTCCAAATCCTGTGGAGGTGGAGTACAAACCAGGACTCGAACTTGCACCAATCCACCACCAGCACATGGTGGAAGTGATTGCAGTAAACTGGGGCCAAATATCTCTACCAGAGAATGCAATAACCAGGACTGTCCAGGTATAACCTGCTTCACGTAGTCATGTAGTTTAAATGCAGTTAAGATTCTAAGTCAGTAAGGATTAATTTCCTGGCAGTCTTGATTTTGATTTTTACAGTGGATATTCCGTAAACGAGTCAATGCAAAAGGAAAAAAAAAGTGGAGGGGGAAATGGAAAAATAATACTTACATTTATGAATTACGTAGTTGTCAAGACAAAATAAGAGCATTGAACCAACATCCAACCCTGAGGCTAAACAATTCTAAATCTCGGTATTTGAACTTGGATATTGTTACGAATTAATAGTCGCCTCCTTAATTATCTTATGTGACGTGGATAAAACTGGGATGATGATCCCCTACGAGCACGACCAAAAACAACCACCCAAACAAAACCAACCACCACCAAAAGCCTAATGCAGCACACGGGACATTAGGGACTTTAAGATCCAACGACGCGCCGGCAACGAGAACGTCGCTTAAAAAGTTAACTTGCGTGCGTTCAGTCTTTATCGCAATTATTAATAACCACTTACTATGTCAAATGTAGGCGAACCCTCCTGGAATGGAATTCCTAGGAACCATATCCAAGTTCGGAAAGAGAAATAAAATTTCGCCGTTGCTTGTTTACGTACTCTATAAAACGCGAAATTAGGCATTTTCACGTCGTAGTCGTGCAAAAACGGGCAAAGAAATGTACAAAAAAGCGTGATGCTCGTACAAAGTTGTTGTTTTGCTTATAAAACCTATTGTTTTTTTGACGTTCTCTTTGCCGTCCGCGTCGTTGGATCTTAAAGCCCCTATTAGCTCAGCAATGGCAGAATACACGAAGAACAGTGTTCATTTCTTCAGGGAGCAAGTCAAATACCGTAAAATTGGACAATTGCACGATGACGATATTTGACTACAACTACCAGAATTCATTTCGCTTTTGCTTTATTTAAATTTGTCAATCCCGCTGAGGATTAAAGAACAATAGCCTTAAATTTGCCCAAGAAAACAACAAACTCAAGGATTTTGGTAGTTGTAGTAAAATGACGTCATCGTGCAATTGTCCTATTCCGAAAATAAGCCCCTCCATGTATAAGCCCCTTCAAATATAAGCCCCCCAAACAGGTAAAAACACTCCGTTAAATCGCCCCTCCAAATATAAGCCCCCCCCCGGGGGCTTGTATTTGGAAAATTTCCCTCAAATACAAAGTAAAACAAAGCAAAAATGGTAAATTCACTTCCAACTATAAGGCTAACTCAATCTATTTTGAAACGCAAATTTCCTTCCGTAGATAGGCCCCTCCGAATATAAGCCCCTTCAAAAATAAGCCCCTCAAAAAGGGCCTTTGAAAAATATAAGCCCTGGGGCTTATTTTCGGAATTTTACGGTAAGTATTTTCGTGCCTGTCTTATCTTCTTTTGCGTGTTTTGTAGTTGATGGTGGCTATAGTAATTGGAATAGTTGGAGTGACTGTTCTGTTTCTTGTGGAGGAGGGCGGAAGGCTCGTAGTAGGAGTTGTAATAACCCCGCCCCACAGCATGGTGGAAAGGATTGCTCAAGTCTTGGTCCATCACTTGAGACGACTGCATGCAATACGAACGGTTGTCCTGGTAAGTGTTCTTTGTATCCGTAATCTGGAAACCACGTGACTAGGCGGATATTGTAGTTGAAAAACAATACCATTTATTCCTTGCATAATTTGCATTAACAAATAGTTAAGTTACCGGCAAAGGGATAGGCCTTTTTGATCAAGATGGGAGGTAATTATATTTTCTTGGATAGCATATTATGCTCCTCATTCCCTTTTCGATCGCGTAAAATCGTGCACTAGTTCTCCAGATTGGGGGCCTTGAGACAGGACAAGCTATCTTTTCTTCTCATATTAAGCCAAATAGGGTGTGATTTCCATCTCCCATGATTGGATTGCGTGCTTTAAACGCATTTGAAATTTGCTTTTAGATGTGAATCATACTTAAACGTAAGACACCTGGAATGTCCCTGACCGGTGAAATGTCAGAATGACTATTCAGTTCAAAAGTCGGAGAACAGATTGGGAATGTTAAGTTTTGTAGGATTTGCCGTTTTTTTAAATTATTGGTAGATGAACCAGGGTTTTTTTCCCGTGATTGTCGTGGAAAATCATAGCAAGTAGACCGTCTTACATAAAGTATTTGTTCATTCGGCAGTGAATGGTGGTTATTCTGCCTGGGGACCTTACCGCAGTTGCTCCAAATCCTGTGGAGGTGGAGTACAAACCAGGACTCGAACTTGCACCAATCCACCACCAGCACATGGTGGAAGTGATTGCAGTAAACTGGGGCCAAATATCTCTACCAGAGAATGCAACAACCACGGCTGTCCAGGTGACAAAACATTTGCTCCATTCGTGTATTTTTAGTCGTAAAAGATCTAAGTACATAAGGTCGACTTGCAAGCGGAGGAAAAACAATGGAATGATGGTACTGTTTGCAGTTTTCAAAGCCGACGCAGCTGTTCGAACAAAGAGAGACGGAGAATATGCTTTACTGCTCTAATACGCTATTTGAATGCATATACATGCACAGTCAACTCTCTCTTGACGGACACCCCTATAAGACGGACACTTCTGTAAGACGGGCACCTGGTTTAAATCCGCGCCGTTTATCAGTCATTTTACTGTTATATATACTGTCCATAAGACGGACACCTCTCTAAGACGTACAAAAACGGACAATTGGGAGGTGCCTTATGTAGCGAAAAATACCTCAAGACGGAAATGTGCAAGGTGCTCTACATGACAGTAAATTGCAAAACGTTTTATATTTTGTCGTCGTGACCCAGTTTGCAGATTGTATACGCTTTTAGACCACGAAGACTTGAACGTTGTCTTGTAATGAACGTTTGATCGCACAATGAGAAAATATTTCCACTTTTCTGTGGCAATTTTCCTGTTTTAGCTGTTTTTAGTACAAGTTAAACAGACTATTAATTGTAAATAGCTTCAGTTTTAAAATCACTCTTGTCACGTTACCTACACTCTCTATAAGTCAGACACCTCTCTAAGACGGACAGTCAAGGCCGGTCTTGATGTTGTCCATCTTAGAGAGAGTTTACTGTATAATTATGAATAGAACGTCTCACCCTTATTTTATGTCACTGGTGATAGACAACACAAAACTAAACACATAAACAACTGACGCGAAAGAGAAACAAAGATAATACTGTTCACAGCGCCTAATAGCTTTAAAAAAAGGGAATTTGCTTCTGCAATTAGTTTAAGATGATCAAATATTAGCATTAACAGCAAGTAATATCTCAAAAGTTAAGTGCGTTCTGTTTGCGTGTTTTGTAGTTGATGGTGGCTATAGTAATTGGAATAGTTGGAGTGACTGTTCTGTTTCCTGTGGAGGAGGGCGGAAGGCTCGTAGTAGGAGCTGTAATAACCCCGCCCCACAGCATGGTGGAAAGGATTGCTCAAGTCTTGGACCTTCATTTCAGACGATTTCATGCAATACAATCGGATGCCCTAGTAAGTGTTCTTCGTATTTTATCTCGTTTACCTTACTCGAAATGCTTAGGTATTTGATGATCATTAGCAACTTGCACGTGACAAGATTTAAACGTTGTTATTAAATATGAGAGTTTTTCATTTATAAATCGTTTACAATTATTTTCTCGGTAGTGAACACACCTCACTCCCTGATCGTTCGAGTAAAAGAAATCAGTTTTAAATATCTTAGACGGATTTTTCACCCATGATCTCTCCAGGTTGGGAGTTAGACACGGAGTTTAGGGGTTTCTCCTGTAAAAACGTACATGTTGCAGAAATCGAAAATTGTGACTTAAGTAGGAAGCAGTGACAAAACATGGAGGAAGAGACTGTTCGAATCTTGGACCATCCACTGCGATGGAAGAATGCAATAAACATAAATGTCCAGGTATAGTTGTGTTGTTCCGTATGTAAGGCCGGTAAAGGTGGTTGCTCTATGTTAACATACGATGTGTTCACTACTGTAGTAATTCCAAGGACGGTCAGGCAGCAAATTGTTGTTTGCTGGAAATATCTATGAGTCGTAACTGTTCATCGGTAGGATGCTTAAGATGGGTGCAATTGCACAATTGTTTTCGGATCCATTAACTTCTACACCAATTGTAGATTATCTAAGGAGGGATTTTAGGGATTTCAAATCAGTCTCAGCAGCTAAAATATGAGTCGGAATGAGTCATATAATGAGGAAATGAGATTTGTACTGGTCAGTTGTTTAGAAATAAACAAGTTATATAGTACCGAAACTGACCCCAAAAAGCTCCCTTTCGAATAAACAGGCGGGCATTACTTGTCTTCTGATTAGTCGATGGTATCCGGTTTCCAATATAAGCGCTGAATGAAAGCAATTTAGGCGCGTTTATTTTTTCCATGACATTCATATATTAGAGTGAGAAGAAAAAATGACCCGTTTACAATTTTGTCTCAGTATTGATTATTTTCAAATTTCTGGAATCTTTCTGTCGCTATTTGTATTTTCAGTTTAGGTCAATATGTAGATAGGTCAATGTGCCAAAAAAGTTTGTCTGATCTAGCGCTTATTTTTGACACGAAAAGGAGCTATAAGTCGATATAAGCATCAAGTCAAAAATTATGCAAGCGTCGCAATTTTTTTTGAGATTAAGCAGAGTTGCTGAAGTGATGAAAAGGTGGCTCATTACTACTCATCATTCAATTATAAGTTCTTCCTTTTATTCTTAGTTAATGGAGGCTATGGTCCGTGGGGAAAGTGGAGTGATTGCTCTAAAACTTGCGGAAAACAAACAGGCACCAGAAGACGAGACAGGCTGTGTAACAATCCCTCGCCGCAGAATGGGGGCAAAGATTGTTCAGAACTAGGAAAGGATACTGAGACTCAAAGTTGCAAACCGAAGAAAAAACAATGCCCAGGTCAGCAAAACCTTCAATGGATAAATCTGTTTGCTCACGTTAATTCGACATTTCACAAGCTACAGCGGAAAGGATGGGAACACAACATAACGATTTTCATGGGAACCTCGCTCTCTTGCACGTTATCCATCATTTTGTAGTGTTTGTCACGTTAATTCCCACAATCATATAATGACACGCGTAAGGCAAAACCCGGACAGATCACAATCATTAACACACACAGTACTCCCTTTTGTACCACAGAAGGATTCGATTTAACTTGTTCATTCGTAGGTCAAACTTTGTAAGGTTTTAACTGTAATTTTTGTTCGAACATTTTTAGTGGACGGAAACTGGAGCCAATGGGGGTCATGGAGTGAATGCTCTGCCACGTGTGGTGGGGGCCTCAGAAAGAGAGCACGGAAGTGTAACAACCCTAAACCCTCAGGAGGGGGAAAAAATTGTGAAGGAAGCGCGGAAGATCCCCAGCAATGCAACAATTTCGTTTGTGGACGTGAGTAAATAGTTTTAAACCTTCTGTTAACTGTTCTGTTCGAAGCAACCTACTTGCAAAGCAAATGGTAACAAATGTTCACGACAAACAACAATATTCGTTGTGATTCCGCAATAGTTTATTGAAGACATGCGAGAGAGAGACTACGAAAGGCAACCGACAATGCAGGCAAGTTAGTAGTTCCTGAAGTCGCTATGACTAAAGGGGCAGTAACTACTTAAGAATTCGTCGTCTTTTCATTTAATTACTCCAGCAAAATATATGTCGTTGTCGTCGTTCGTTTGCATCATCCATAAAACGTCGCTTATAAGAAAAACTCACGAAATAATCGTAAGTCACTACAAAGAAACGTACCGAACGAAGGAAAAAAAAAAACGAGAGAGGGAGGGAATCGCCCAGGTAGTCGAGCCCTTGGGATATGTTAATTTTACCATTTGAAAATTATTTTTAGACCAATTAAACACTTCTTTAGACCATGGATTCAAATCCCATTTTAAAGCCCCGAATTTTTTTGCTGTTAATTTTAAGCTGAATGGAAGATAATTGGATGCTATAAAAACGTTGATCAAGCACTCGACAAACTATTAGCGAGAGTTGGGGGCAAACCGAGCATAACTGCGAGGTACACGACATGCGTATCAGCTGCTGATGGGGCGAACATCACGCTGTTTGGTCTGGACAACAAGAGATGTTGGACCAGTGAAAGCGATTACAGTTCATACAGCAAGTATGGTACCTCAGGAACATGCAAGACAAATAAGTTGGGAAAGAGTGGAGGCTTCTCTGAACATGGGACGATATATGTTTACCAAAAGGATCAACAAGGTGACACAGACTCCACCTTAACATATGTAATAGTTTTATACTCAATAACCTTATAAAACAGTGAACGTCGGTAATATTGGTAGTATTTCGAAGAAACTAATAATTTTATCTGGTTACAAGATAGACCAAAAGTTTGTACCGTGATCTCAACCATCGCCTATTAACATGCTAACACTGGTCATTTCTTGTAAAGGTAACGGTAGAGAAAATGTCGTCACTATACATATTGAATTCGCCTTCTTTCAACCTTCGTCTGCTCACGTCCTCCGTAACACGTCGTCCAATTGTAAAGTTCATGCGGTTGTACTTTTGCACTTAATTAATCGGAAGGAACGAAGATATGTCAAAAAAGTATGATGTAAGTTTAGATAGATTAATCATCTAATGCTTCAGTCTTCAGATTTAAGCAGTGACTTATGCTCCTTTTTACGATTATGATACCATTGCGGTGTTGGTTATTTTAAATCGCTTATTTCTAGGTTTTTTACCCCCTCAGAGCCCTTTCTGATTCTGATTCTATAAATGAGTGTGCTACATTAGCCTTTGCTCTCGTAAGATATTGCTGACGAATCAGTAGAACCTTCCATACCGGCCCTAATCATGCTTATTAACTCTACAGGTACATGGCAACACAAAGGCTGTTACGTCAATCAGTCGCCAAAACGGGCTCTACCCGTTTCCTTCGACAACAGTGTCAGTGGTAATCAGGGCAATAGGAACGTTTTCGAGCACTGCCGAGATAAAGCCGAATCATTTGGTTACAAGTTATTTGGTGCTGACAACAAGAATTGCTGGAGTGGAAATGATGCTGAGAACACGTATGATGATCATGGCGTATCCTCAGAATGCTATGTCAACAACCAAGGCTATGGCGTTGGATCGGAGATAAATGGAGACATGTTTGTTTACCGTTATCATTAACAATGAGTGAGGAACATTCTATTGGGCTGTAATTTCATTAGATTTATTTCTGAGAAGCAAGCTGTATACAGTCGACTCTCTCTTAACGGACACCTCTATAAGACGGACACCTCTTTAAAACGGACACTTAGAGTTGGTCCTTGCCTTTCTTTACTCCCTTTATTTGACTCTCTATAAGACGGACACCTCTCTAAGACGGACACTTAGTGCCGGTCCCAAAGGTATCCGTCTTAGAGAGAGTTGACTGTAGTGTTTTAATACTTAACATTTTACTTGTCAGATTGAAAAAGTTTAAAACTCTGCATACATAAATTCCTTTCGTTTCAAAACACTTTCATACTTTTTACCTTACGTTTCCATTTAGTTGAGCACACGTATTTGAGAATTGTTTTTTTAACCAAAACGCTTCCAGTTAAACACCTTAGAGGTCGTCTTAGAGTAAACGGACAAAAACGAACGTTTTTGAAATAGTCGACTTCATGCATGCTTATTTGTTATGCGTTTCTAGTGGCTTAGTGTAAACTGTCGAAAACATCGATAAAAAGCTAGAGATCAACGCGAAGGGACCTTTCGTTTCCAGGTTTTAGGTCACAAAAACGAGTGTCAGTTGCAACTGGAACAGCGATACTTCAACGCCAGTTTCTTTTTTATGTACAGTTGTTTTCACTCGCTAACACTGTCAACTCGGACCAACTGCTTAAATACGTTCTATCTGCTTATGCATAATCGAATGTTTTTTGTATAGAATCACAATTTCCCTTTCAACGGAATCTGCTTTTCCTCTTTTTCAATGTGTTTATACCTAATTATCTAATACTTATTCATTAATTTGATGCTAATTTACATCGTTATTCATCTTTTGACAGATGACGAGCTGAGAGATGATGAAATTACGGATTTTTAATACTGAAGAAACTGCAAGAATTGGAAAATGACTAAAAAGAACCTCGGGGATAGTTGTGTAATTGTAGGGTTTGGTTAATTAGGTGTTGTCTTGGCGGGTTGGTTAACGGCAGCTGTATTAGATTTATTAGAAAAGGGAACGATATTAAAAAAGCATTGCAACAGTTCATGTGGAAGGTTTTCTTTTTGTTTCACCTTGGTTGGAATTAAATTGTTTACAATATATTTAGGACACAATAAGCCATTAGTTGTGACTCGCTATCGCATCTCTACTACTTACGATGGCCACCTTCACAATTTATTTATTTATTTATTTTTTTTGGAAAATAACATCAGAATAGACCTTGTCACGGTTTTCGACGCCATCTTTACGAGTAGGCAAACGCCTGAGAAATTACAGTGATTGTATAAGAATCTTATGTCGAATAATTTCCGTAGAAAGACTGTTCTGAAAAAATATGATTTATAACCTAAAGCTTCACTCCTAAGGATTCTCCTGTAAAACATTTGAGGGCGTTACATGCACTAGAAGACCTGGAACCACTTTTTAATATTTTCTATACATTTGTGTGTAAGAATTACAGACAAATATATGGAAAATCTAAAGGAAGCCTCTGGAGAAATTTAAGCACAGGTACGCCCCCAAATTTTTTTTAGGACAATCCTTTGCTTTGTAGCTTTAGTTTACAATTGATATTTTGTTCAGCACATCCGTTCTACGGAAATTATTCGACATTAGATTCTCATCAGGGGCGGATCCAGGATTTTTTTTAGGAGGGGGTGCACTCGTCTCTTGCTCTACTTCAACACCAATAAACCATATAGTTTTTTTTTTGCAGAATACCAGTTGTATTAGAAAACCGCAGGTCATGTCGGGGTGGGGGCGGGGGGTGCACACCTCCTGCACCCTCCCCCTAGATCCGCCCCTGCTCATACAAATACTGTAATTTCTCACGCGTTTGCCTACTCGTCAAGAAGGCGTCGAAAACCGTGACAAGGTCTATAATGACGACGATTATTATGATGATGATGTTATGAGGCCGAGGTGGATAAACACCCTCCGAGATCTGCTTAATTCTTCATATCCTACGAAAGCCGAATTCATTAATTGCTTTATTATTCATTCAAAATAATTCCTAGTTTAAAAACATAGCTAAAACATGCTGACCTGCATCGATGTTAAGTTCATCTTCGATTTTAAGTGCACGTTTAGGTTTGTCCAGCTCCGCAAATATTCTCCAAATAGCAGATGTCGCCCTCCGAGTTGTCTTCTTGCTGTTTTTGCCATGTTTTTAGCTATTATTTTGCCTAGTTCCAGCTGTAGTTCTTACTCTTGAAACGAGTGAAATTTCCGCCATTTTTTTTTTCAGATCGTCCCCAGGTCTTCTCGGTAACGGTGCCTTAACCTTGCGGGCTGCATTTTTTCGTTAAGCACAAAATTCTTCCAAAATTTGTTCATCAGTAACTGGTTATGGTGAATTATGCGTGTGCTTTTAGTCAATCAAAATTGGCAAAATGAATGAATAATAACCCAGGTTAAAACCCAAACTTTATGGTTAATTCAGGGGACAAATTAAACATGCTACCGTCAGTCGTAAAACGGCATAAAATTTCACCGTCAACCGTCAAAAAAGGTAATTTTCACCGTCAACCGTCAAAAATGCCGATTAATATCAACCGCCAAGAAGTTTTAAGGTATTTGAAATCTCACTATTTCAGGTCATCTTCACGGGATAATGGCTCATTAAGAGGCTCTAAACGAGAAAAGCCAGTTCTCATGTTCTCGAAAACAGTCTTTCTAGACATTGCAAGCCGAGATCGCACAACTTGCCTCTATCTGAAAGTATCTCGAAGTATCTTAAAAAGCCTCATTTGAACTAAATTTTTAATTTTTGATCGACGGCATCATAAGGGTGATGACGCTGTCGATTGACGAAAGTTTGGATTTTTATATATTTTCAAAACGGACAGCAGTTTAAGGCCTCATTTGAACATTTTAATTCTTGGACTAAATTTCCACTTAATAAGAAGCCCCAACCGTCAACTGAAGCTCTAAAATTTAACCGTCAGCAGTCAAAACTGGAAAAAAGTTACCGTGTACCTTCAAAGATCCCACTCCACTGAGACCGTCTAGTATTGGGATCCGAAAATAGTCAGTGCAGGAGACGTTTCCAGCTTATAGGATCACTAGGACAGTAAAGAGTAGTGGTAGAGGGTCATTTTGCACCTGTTTGGTGTCTTCCCTTTATTAAATTGTCGTAACTGCACAGTAATTTTCAGGGAGTTATTACGACTCCAAAAATGGAGTAAAAATTTTCGGTACAGAAAAACCCCTTTTTTGGGGTTACTTTATCTACTAATTTAACTCCACATTTGGGGTCATTTTTGCTCCTGAAAAATAGTTCTTTTTACTCCCAGTCTGTAGTTAAAATAACTCCGAAAATGGGTAAATTTTACTCCTTACATCGGTTGTTTTTACTCTTTTTGGAGTTAATTTAACTCCGAAAGTGGAGTAAAAGGTTTGGGTACATGATAATTCCTTTTTTGGGGTTATTTTAACTCTCCAATATCTGTGGTCATCTGGGCCCGGTTGTTCAAAAGTTGGATAGCGCTATCCACCGGATAAATCGCTATCCAGCGGATAAGTATTACGAGAACTAATTGCGTTATCCACTGGATAGTGATTTATCCAGTAAATAGTGCTATCCACCTTTTGAACAACTGGGGCCTGAAAAAGAGTTCTTTAAACTCCCTTTTGGAGTTAAAATAACTCCCCAAAAAATAACTCCACTGTAAGGGGTTAAATTAACCCCACTTGAGGAGTTATTATAACTCCTTAAAAATTACTGTCTTCCTCCATACTAATGAGGGTCTTCCTGCATAATGATAACTGTCTTCCTCCATACTAAATTCCTTAGCAAAGCGTTTGCAAGAAAGATAGCGCGTTCAAAAACTGCTCGCTTTTATTTTGTACACATAACAGAGTCTACATGAACCTATCAGGGTTAAAAGAGACCGCGAAAGTCTAGTCAAGCCTATTGTTCCTATTGTAAAGGAAAGACGCTCCTTAGAAATGGAGGAAGGCACTTATTACGTATGGAGGAAGACAGTTATTAGTATGCAGGAAGACCCCCAAACAGGCGTAAAATGACCCTCTACCACTACTGTAAAACCTCAGAGCCGTGACCGAAAGTGACTATAATTGAACTGTATAATCTTTTGTGTATTTAAAAAACAATGTTTTATTTAATTCCAGAGTGCAGAGTGTTGCGGAAACTATTGTTGGTTCCCTTGTGTCTTGGGGCGTGGTTATTGGGAGCCATTTTTAACATGTTTATCAACATAAATAGCTAACATTTTACACACAGATGTAAGAAAACGTGATTTAAAGTGATTAATTCTCAGAATTCTAGTCTAAGAAAAAATATTTGATTTTGTACAGCGGATACTGTTAAAAAATTACTTCCCTTTTAAAATACAAAGCAAGAACTCCTCTTATGAGAACAACTAGCATCACCGAAAAAAATGACCGATTGGTGTTTTTCTGTGGAAGTTGTTCACTTCCTTTTCTATCATTTGTGTTAGGTCATTTGGTGGTCACATCAATAAACTGGTATCTTTTTCAACGAACATCAACCAATCAAATGTCTTATAGTTTCTTGATAAAATGAACAGGTACCACCGTGAACTTTTAAAATCACTGTTGTCGTTGCTGTTGCTCACTGCGGAATTCAGTTCCTGGCGACCTCGCTTTGAATTTATCAAAATACACGGCATGCAGCTATCAATTGAAGAACATCAAAAAAGGAGAACAAAACATTTCCAGACCACTTTAGTTTTGGACCAGGGGTCAATTTAATAAAACTCTTACAACTGTAGCTATTGTTCTCAGACTCTAAAACAATAGCTACACTTGTAAATTACACATGTAAAAATTTTATTAAATTGACCCCAGCACGCTCCGAAGCCACGTAAAGGTTATTGCGGTTTTCGGATCAGTGTGCAAAGTTAGGGTGCCTCTCTTTACTGTGATGCATGTGTTATTGGTATAAATGTAGTATTAACCCTTAAACTGCAAGTCAGCGCCATTCGGTACAGGATGTATGCTCAATTTTTTATAAACAACATGTAGGGAGGTTAATGAAAAACCTTCTCCCCCCTCTCCCTGCCTTACTGAAGTCTTGATTTACAACTTTAGGAACATCTTTCCTTCGTCCTTTTTTAGATCAAGTTGTAATCTGACAAAAACCAATGCACCCAGAGCTGTAATTTAAACCACATTAAATAAAATTTATAGTTAAACCTAAGAGAGACAATTCTCAATGACCAGGTCTGCCGGTGTGATTTCTAGCATACACCCCAAAACTTGCCATTCTTATTGGACCTTATGGGTATCGTAAGTGGTCGCATGATTCATAGTCACCAGTTTCGAAAAACCTGACTTCTTCGGCGGAAATGGAAATTTTAGAACAAGTCCGCGTATTTTTCTTAATCCAACAAACCCGAAAATTACGTTATTTGTCTATTCGGTTTTGTCACATTCAGTTGAAAACCAAGCTATTGTTCGCAGACGCGGAAATTAGTGCTAATCCATCCAAGGGCTCCACACGCCTCCGAAATTATTGGGATTAGCTTTTGGATCCACTGGCTTGTTTCTCGGGGGCACCATGGTTTGTTTGAATTCCTCGAGCCACTGCAGCATTCGGTTCAGAACATTGGGGTTGTTCTTTGCTTGGTTGACATACTCGCAAGGATCGTTTTCAACATCAAATAAGCAAGGCCCTGCCTCTTTTGTACAACTAACTGCGGGACTGGGTGGCTTAGTACAAGTGACGACGGCATTTTTCAACGTAGCAGCTCTGGAAGTTTGATTTGAGGTGTCGAATCCTGGAGGAGTATACCATCCACTCCAAGCTGTAGCTGTGAGGTTAGAAAAGGACAAAAAGCACTTCAATGAAAATAAGCAGTACATTGTCAATATCTCGGATAGCTAGCGAATTTTTGACGCGGTATGGAGCCTCGAAATAGCTTCCTAAAATGGTAGAAACCAGTCTGAGTAGAAAGGCAATAAAACACCAATAGGGACACATGACTTAAAATAAAAAAACAAAATAATTAAAAAAATCATGTTAAAACGACAGCCGGGTATTCTCACCGCAACAAATGCGATTTTGATCGCTCAACCCATTACTTTGTTGACATTATTGTTGCTTAAGTTCCTATATAAAAAAAGTCTTTGATTTACTTACATATATTAACCAGCAGTTTCCAGTTTCTGAACCGGTAAGCTGCAGCACCAGTCATCGGGTCGATGTTGTGAAGAATTTCCAGCCGAGGCGACACGGTAGCATTAGTGAGTGCACCCCACATGTCAAGGCCGTCAACATTGCGCAGGTCATGAATATCTCCTCCTGCTGCAGAATACAGTGTAGGAAGCCAATCTGTCACGTGCATCAACTGCATGCTCACTCGGCCTGCTGTTTTTGAAATCAGAGGACTGTGCATAAACCCCGCACCACGGACACCTCCTGTTATCAGTTAAAGGAAAAAAATAAGTTTAATGGGTTAGCGGGCAGAATAATATGTTATTTGTATTTAATCCCAGCTTTCTTGAATTTATTTGTGAGCCTATAGCTCATAGCTGTGGTGTAAGTGCGATAGACTTTTCCACGGTTTATTCAACTATTGACTGGGACCACTTAGCAAAAAAATCCGTCAACAAGGCTAAAAAGAACGCATTAATTATAAAATTAGTAAAGACACTAAGTTTGAGAGTGATTTGTTGAAAACTAAGGAAGATATAGTTACGCTTCATCAAAACTTGAAAAAACAGAAAACAACAACAAAAAACAACAACAACAACAACAACAAAAAAACAAAAGCGTCCACGGTATACTCTCCCCAATCTTCCTCGGCCTTCAATCAAAGATGGCGACGGTGGGAAATACTGAGCGCGCGCTCGCTGGCATTGCTTTGCTCACCTTCCCAAAGCGTGTCCTTGATACCCCTCAAAGGAAAGTTACAAGCGCTGTTCATATCAAATCCTGCTGCTGGACCACCGTTATCAGTTGAGAAGACAATAACTGAGTTGTTGTACAAACCGCTGGCTTTAAGTGCATCAACAACCTGATAAGAAATTATCAGAAGACTTCAGGGAATTGTAGATACAAAGGCAGAATGTCAAGCAGCTAAAATTTGAAATCCAGAATTTCACGGATCATGGATAATAGAAGGACTGAATTAAGGAAACTAGCTGATGTGATCGGTTCCAACATAGTGGAAAAATGTGACGTCACACCAGCGAGAACCATTCAACTTTACACACGTTTTCCGCTTCAGATTTTTCCTCATATATTTCGACTGGTTTGTGCCACATTTTCGCCATCGTTTATGATGGAACCATCCAACGCCATCTTGGAGACCAACCAATCGGTGATGAGAAATCCGTCCACGTGACATAAGTTTCCCATCCAGTCTCACCACCATTGTGATTAGTCAGTTATCTTTCAGTGGCATCGTGTTCCACTCCCTGATTGCCCTTGTAAACTGCCAATCTCCAGTTGTTCAGAAGGTGAATAACGTTATCCACTGAATATTTTGTTAAACCAGTGGATAACTCAATTAGTTTCCCTAGTAAATATCCAATGGATACTAATTCATGGTTCCTCGAAAGACAATTAAGTTTAACCCACACGCCGACACAGTTAACGAAGCCTCGCACCGTCACTGCTTTTGGTAACTAACAATAGGCTTTAATCCCTTATTACATGTACAGCCGACCCCTCCCCTAAAAAAATGGAGAGGAGACGGCTGTACACAAGCTAAAGTTGGCATCAATATCGTTTTCCTTACCTTTCCTACGCCCTGATCAAGAGAAGACACCATGGCAGCAAAAATCCTTCTGTTTTCATCTTCAATGTGAGAAAACTTCTTGATTAAATTCGGGGGCGCTTGAAGCGGCTGAATAAAGTTTGCGCTATGAACTGCTTGGAACGGAAGGTACAAAAACAGCGGCTTAGAAGGATCATGCGTCTGAATAATATCCACGGCTTTTTCTGTAAACAGCTCTGTACTGTACTGGCCCCACTCTGTCTTTACGGGCTGAGAAAAGGGGAATAATCGTTCAGAGAAGGATACGGAAAGAGACCCACTGGCGATATCGAGGCTGCGCTTGGGACTGGATTAGTCACGCAACGCTCATCTGGGGAGAAGCGTTGCGTGACAACACAAACAACGGCTGTGTAGCAGACCAGAGACTGGGCGGTGTTGCCGATCGAAATGCTATATTGGAATGCATGGGAGTCTATTGTCTACTATTTCCTTTCTATTGAAGCAACAGAACTTCTAAATAGCTTACTCACCTCAGTACCATTGCGAAAGTCCAGACCCTGTCCGGATTTTGCTAGGTTTGAGTGATCCCAATAATCTTCTTTTCCACCCCAATAACCAAAGAAAGAGTCAAATCCTCTCTTGGTGGGTGTGTAGTCAGTTTGAAAGAATCCAAGGTGCCACTAATAAAAAACGTTAGAGAAAAGGAACATGCAAACAAAACCTCCAGGACCAACCTGTTATGAGGTAACATCTGTGTAATGTGTAATGGGTTCACATAAACTCTCACAAAATGACATTTACAGTCAACCCACTTAAAGATGGACAGTGCTGTCTGTCCTAACTGTCAGTCTTAAGGTGCTTTCCATTTGTCAGAACTGACTGGCCAGACCATTCCAGTCATAATGAGAATTTCACTTCTAATCAAACTATCCAGTCAGATCCCAAATAGCATTCATGAAGGAAAGGGTGTTTCAACAAAAACTCTGAAAAAAAAGCACTTTTTATTGTCAAAATGCCTGGTCTGGCTATGATCAGGCCAGCCAGTTCTGACTTTTGGAAAGTGCCCTTAGAGTCTAAGAGGTGTTCTCTTTATTGAGGGAGAGGCGAGAACCAAAACACAGCCAGTAATTCTCAAACTTGGGAAAAATGTAAAAACTGGAACACTGTGATCCACGCAGGGGAACAAAATAATACCCTGGGTGCCAGAGACTTGCATACAAGAAAAACACCTCTGGTACCCAGGGTAGGGAACAAAGAGTCAAGTACTGTACATGCATTTGCTTATGTAATTTGCTTCCCCAAGTTCAAATTTAAAGTGATATATAGATATCCACATTACTGTATTTTTAACAACCCAAACCACCTCTCAAGTCTCCTCTGAAAGTTTGAAAAGTGTCAGTGAGGTGTCCGTCTTATATGTATAAACTGACTGAACAACAAAAGGGACCAACACCAGGGGTGCAGACAAACCACCAGGGTAGAAAACTTTTGTGTAAGCAAATTACAATAAAATTTGACGGGGTAGGAGAAAAACCTGCTATAAAAAAACACAAATCCAAATCTGCTGAACAGACTAAAAAGAGTAGAAAAACTGCGTCGCCTCAAATCACAGCCAATGTTTCCTGAACCTTCCCAAACAAAATGGCACGAAACTTTTGCTTTTCCAACTGGAATTTCCAGTTTTCTAATGTAAATGCTAAGTACCCCTGGTGACCCTTTCATAGAATGAGGTGGCATTCATTCAGAGAGTGACAGAATCAGAACTCTTCTGGACCTTTACTCATTGTTAACTTTTCTAAGTTCAAATCATCATGGAGGATATGTACTACAAAAACCAAAACCCCAGATACCTTTCCAACTGCATGTGTGGCATATCCCAGCTTTTGAAGATACTGAGGCAAAATAGTCTCATTCAAACCAAGTCCATATGGTTGAGATATTTGAATAACACTATGTTGCATACCTGGAGACATACATATGCACAGCATAAAATATACAACAGTAGTAATACAAAAGCAAAGAATAAAATACAGCTGTAGATAAATTCAGCTAACCAAATTTCCGATGTATGGGTAGGTGTTAGTGCATTCTTTATTTCATTTGAAACACTTTTTGTTAGTGTGTGGGTCACATTTCTGGATTATTTCTAGAAATGAGCACTGTTATTTACACCCATTGCCAATAGATGCGTGTGGGGAAGGTGCCTGAGTAAACTGAGGGAGCCACAAGCGAGAGTGAAGGTAACCATGACAACCCTGTGAGCGGCAACCACTAGGCACCATCACAGTTTTCAGATACTTACCAAGACCCACCCAGAGGGAGGGAAGGGCTGGGAGCAAAAAGGCTTTGACACAAGCACAAGCAAAGGCCATGCATGCAAAATGACTTGACCTCCGAAGGAGTGCAGCTGTAAAAATACTGCGGCCCTGAAAAAGCCCTAGGCCCGCCCTACATACGATAAGTCAAGGAGACCGCTGGCCAGTATTGTCTTGTGTAATTACATTTAGCCACTTTATTATTATTATTATTATTATTATTATTATTATCATTATTATTATTATTGTTATTATTTCTTTCTATTATTATTTTTTCACTTTTCTCTGTTTGATTCAACTGTGCTCATTCATATTATAGTTTGAAACATTTCTTCCCCCAGAAAGAAGTTTTGACATTAAAGTTGCCACTGGTGGTTCATTATTATTAATGATGTCAAAAGCAGCACAAGCAAAATGAATCTGCATGAGCGTTTACAGGCTGTTCTTGGGTCAATGGGTCAAACATGAGCACCCTATTCTAGCGAGGGTAACGATCTAACATTACCTCAGCAACAAACAGAAAGTTTCAGCGTGCAAAGAAAGTGGTTTCCGATAGCCCTGTGCTAGTGGATTTTGTAAACGGGCTCATGAATCCTGTTCTTAACTTAAAGGGCAAGTGAAGTTTTGGGGGAAATTCAATCCATGCTGCTCATGGGCTACTTAATAGACTCTTGGGCTAATACATACTAGCAACAACTTGCCTAAATGGCAAGCCGTTAAAACAACTTTCTTTGCACCCTGAAGTTTTAACCTTGGTAAAAATCGTAAGTCATATAATTTTTTGTTTAAATTTCATCACCACCCACCTGTATGGATGGGGTATCTACCAGTCATGATAGCACTGCGGGTTGGTGTACATATGTGCTGCACATAATAGTTATTCAGAATGATTCCATTGTTTGCCAGACCATCAAGATTTGGAGTTGGGATCTGCGGTGAGCCATGAAAACTTACATCATCCCACCCCTAAAAGTAGTCAGAAAACAAAAGGACTTGTTAGCAAAATAGTAGCGAAATAAAATTATTAATTTTAACACTAGGCTGCCATAGCTGGTTTTTATTTTTCAAGAAAATCAACTTTACCCCATTCTTTTTCATAGAGCTTTGTTGCTCGTTCGCATACACTCCAATCCCCAACAAATCTATACACACTACACTAAAATTAATTTCTCTTTTGCCATTGTTTTCCTGATTCGGCATTTTGAGGGCAGATTCAGTTGTTTTATGTTCAAAGGTGTTCCCCACCTAGAAAACTGGGGCTTAACCCATAACTTCTAGAAATTTTGCCCAAAAACACCATTTCAAACTAGTTGGGTCAATTTTTGGTCACTTGTCTGGCCAAAACAAACCAAGACTGCACAAAACCCTGTTAATAAAATGAGCATTATGCAGCCTACTGTTCTTGATGCTACATATCAGCTTGCAAAGACTGTCCCTTTGCAGATTTAACAAAATGTCAAGATAGTTTTGTGGGGAAAAAAGTGACACTGCAGTCTTGACTTTAACATTTCAATTACTCCCTTTCTTCTTCTTTCTTATTGCTTTTGCTGGACATGCTAAGCTTCATATCCGTGGAAAAAGTTTTTGTGAAAACTTTAAGGATCCTAGGATTACATGAAATTAAGTGCAAGTCATAGTGGGTAGAAAGTTCAGCAAGAGTTCTCTTAGGAATTATTTCCGGGTCAGCTTCAAGAAGTTTGCATTTTTTATCTGGCCTGTTTGACTGAAACAAGCTCATTCCATTATGGTTCGCACAAGCTTATTGTTAATTAGTTCCCTATAATATATAATTTATGATGGGACATCCCAAGTAATATGTACAAGGGAATGGATGCAAATGGTAGTTCAGGAGTGAATGAGTTAAGCACAAATGGGTTTCATTGCATTTATAAACCTGCAAACACACTAGTCTGGAGTGGGGGGGGGGGGCGGGCGGAGAAGGGGGGCACTCCCTATAAGGGCCTATATGAGGAGGCTCCATTCAAAAGGGACTTTTCATTTAGGATATGGGTATATCAAAGGAATTGATGATCATATTATGGATTAAAAATAAACTGTTTGATTTTTTTTAATCAAATCCCAGCAGTGAACTGCATGTTCAGTAACACTTCCTTATTAAACATAGATGCTAAACCATCTCAACACATAGTATTGATTTAATCATGGCGGCAACACGCTCAAAGACGTCCTCTGATTCAAAACGTGGAAATTTTGAGGAAGACGATGTCCAAATGCCCCTTAAACTAGTCAGACAAAATGCAACCTAAATACCTTAACACCTCATATCTATATTTTCCTCTAAACGCACTTATATACTTAAATAAACGACTTTTTTCTTTATTTCTTAAAATGCCGCCTAGTGTTTTAATTGCCCGTGGTGGGAAATCTCTATTCCTCATAAGCTCGGCTTCTCAGAGATTTCCCCGCCACAGTCACTCCTCCCAAGTAATGCACAAATTTTAAATTTAATGTTAGTTAACCTATTTATTATCGTTTTTATTCTGCTTGTAATTCATTGTGTGTGGCAAAATAATAAAATAAATAAAATAAAAAATAAATAAATATTATTTCTTACTGCTCTCTCAAGATCTTAAAGGACAAACCTGGCATCCCTTGAGACTGTGTCCACATAAAGGTGGGGGGTTCATGTACTTGCCAGGTAGTTAACTGATACAAGTGTCATTAGAAATGATATGAACTTATATCAGACCCTAAAGCAGAGGCCTACAGCTGTAGCAAGAAGAAATAGTGCCAAAGCACTGATATAGAAGAGGCTTAAATCAAAATAAACTTACCAGATCATCTGCAAGTATAAATATAATATTTGGTGGCTGCTTAGCTGTAGATGCTGCACACAGCATGGCCAACACCAGCACAAACCAAGCCATCTGTGGCTGGAATTAAAAACATTACTTTTCACTGCCAGTGCTCATATTGTTTGTTTGTTTTATTTATTTGCCACACAAAAATAGACATTACAAATAATATAAGATAAGTAGAAACAACCTTGGTGAGGAGACCCAACGGAAAAACTATAAGAGCTTATGAAAGAATAGGCCTCCTCGAACTATGGGCTAAAGCTCCTTACATCAGTTGAAGAAAAGATGGCCAAAAGTCAAAAGAGGAAATAATTTAAGATCGGTTTTCATATTTACTTAACCCACTCGCTCCTGGAAATTTTCCTGAAAAAAGTATTTTGAAGCTAGTCAAGCGGTATTCTTGTCATTGTCGTGCTATAAATTAGATCTAAAACTTATCATAAAGCCATTTACAGGTCGTACACTTCACGGCCTTCTGATCCAGATACAAAATATTAGCTTGCGAAGTTGGGGCATGTACAGAAAGCAACATTTTAAGATTTCAGGTCAATGTTATTAAAATGTTTTTTGCCTTAATTTTATATCCGTGTCCTTGACTGAATTGAGCTCAATCTGGTATGGTTTGGGAGATCTTTTCACTCTGCATCAGGTAGCGACAAAGTTGTCCTTGACCATTTAAACTGATACCGTCACCAGCAGTAGAAGAATTAGGGACATGGATCTGCACAGGTGGTTATGGGCGGCTCAGGGGCAAATGGGTTATAAATAAAAATTTAATCTTTAGTATTTTCTTTAAGGAGGAGAGGGTCTGTGGGTTGATGACTTCGTTGTCAAGTCAATTAAAAAACATGGGTCTTAGAAAAGAGCTGAGAACTTCTTAGTGTTTGTTGGACAATAGGGTTACACAGTAGGCTTGGGAATTTCTTGTATTGTAAGAGTGAAATTGATTGCTTTGGGAGAAATTGTTGTTAAACCACTGAGTATATGTATTGTCACTGTCTTACAAGTTGATTTTGAATTAGAACTTATTTTAAGAATATAATACAGTTGTAAGTAAATAAAAAATTTCTTGGCAGTCTATAAAAGCTTGTTTTTGCAACTGAGAGCTGTCAGTAGAAGGCTTTTATTTTCTGTCTGCAAAGAAACTTTTCATACCTTTTTTTTAAACTCAGTATGGTAGGAATAAACATAAGTTGTCAATTAAAATAATCAACCAAGAATGGGTTGAATCTGAGACCATGAACCTTTATTTAAACTTTTTCAACTTTATTTAAATTTGGAAATATAACAAAAAAAAAAAAAGAAATACATTGGGACTGGCCTGCAGTTAGCGAGGCTATTCGAGGCAGGCAAGGCTACATAATTTACTACAAACTAGACAAATACGAAGAAATTAGACGTTATATAACTATATATATTTATCAGTAAATAAATACTATTCTACTTAAATACAAGGACAATATTAAAGTGAAATTTTAAAAATAAAATAAAATGAAAATAAAGGACAAGAGAATTACTTTTTCATTTTCACAATAATAGTATCCACATCAATATAAACGTCTTCAGTTTGAAGGATTTAGCACTGCGTTTAGTGATCTTTTAAAGCTTTTTTCGAACCTACATGTACTCTTCAATTCTTTGACAAATGAACGGATTTTGTCCTAAACAGGGTGAGAATTTCCGCACCCGCCTTTCTTCTTTAGCGCGCCCAACCAAAACCGCCATGCTACACAGGCCAGTTAGGCTTGGATAAATTCTTCTCGTAAATTGGCTTATTCTCATGCTGGCAGTGCTCATAAAAATCGCTTATTCTGCTCAAAATTCTTCTTGGACACCCTTATTCTGCTCAAATTCAGCTCGGTATCCGAAAAAATTTTCGGCCATATTTATTTTCACAAATATAGAAGGGAACCTGGGCCTAACCCCTTAAAACTAATTAGATATTGTAATTCATCTTATTTTTAGTGTGAATGCATTGTACCTACTTAATAACTGAATTAATCACAAGGTATTTTCCATTTGTCATTTATATAGTTTTAAATTTTTCTTACAACTGTTATACATATCATTAGTGCCGCTGACTTTCCCTTATTCTGTTCAAATTCTGCTCAAAAATGCCTTACTCTGCCGGCAGAATGCCCGTCTCAATAATCACTTATTCTGCTCAAAATTCTCCCGGCAGAATTTGTCCAAGCCTAAGGCTAGTGTGTGCTGTGTGCCCTTCGAATCCCAAAGGCAACCCTGGTTGATATTTTGAAACCCTCAACACAGAACCAAGTTAATTGTGAACCTAAAACAACCTCATAAGAGTCAACTGTTTTCCATCCGTTTATTATCCAGGTCAGTAATACATAAAGTACAGTGTGAAAGTAATACTAGAAAACTCCTGTTGTATCATTTATGTATTTATGTATACATGCAATGAACAAAACTAAACGAGTGCAATGATCTTATGTTTATGGTACACTTGACATCGACGCACCTTGATTAAAACACTGACATAAAAGCATTATTTCTATTTGAAAGGAGGATTTGTGGCATATATTGGCAATGTCAACTTTTTCCCATTTGTAACTGCGGTTTCGGTATTTGGGTAAATTGTGATGCGGTATTGCGGTATTCTTGTGCTACCATGTGTGGTATTGCGGTATCCGTACCTCCCTTACGCCCCCCTCTGAAAACTGGTACAGTCAAACCCCACGTATAAGGACCTGGATTTTAAGAACCTGTTTGGCTTAAATTTTCATTTTAAGCCCCCTTCACATAACAACCTATTACGGCTAAAATTTTAAGTTAGGTTCTTATCAGTGGAGTCGCTGTAAAAGTGTATCAACTTTGAAATGGCATTTCAGAGAACTGACTATGAGTTTTGTTTTGTTAAGGACATACCTGCACTGTACTGCCTTTAGGCATTACTGTACCATTTATATAAGAACCTGTTCAGGCTAAATTAAAAAATTCAGATTCTTATACGCATTAAATAAGGGGTGGCACTGGTAAATTTAAGTGCAAAGGTTAATCACTATTCCGGTATGCAAAAGAACGTAACGAATGTCTTATTTTCGTACCTGGTAACTTGTGGAAATGAGAACTTTCATCGCAACACTCAGCTCCACCAGTACGCCAAAACTAAAGGTGAAAATCACATGTCGGTTTCCAGTCCTCACGGGTTCGCTCTTTGGACATGTGATTAAGACATGTGACAGGTGTGTGACTTTGTTACTTACATGATGTTCTTCTGTAGGAAATTTCGCTACTCAAGAAAGCATTAAAAACACAGATAAGGTAAGACGTTCGGAATTGGAAGTTTTAGCAGGTAAAGCGTTGTATTAACTGCAGTTTGTGGAGAAAAGGAAGGAGGTGGTCATTCTTTAGAGTTGCACTTTATATCAGCCCGCCACTATACATGCGTGCGTTCTGGCATTCTTTCCTGACTTGTTGACTAAGATCTTGTAGACTGAACTACAAACACATCCCAAACAAATAATGGTGAACTCAATCCA